ATGCCACTGTCGCTGTTTTCTCCCCACATTTACCCTCTGGGACTCGCTCAAGCTCTTTGTTCTGCCCCCCAGCATGGCCAGCTCCCAGCCAGCTGCATCCTGGCTCAGCTGGCGGAGAGGCCCCACTTACAAATCTCAAATGGACTGGGTATAGGGGAGAGGGTGAGATGGTGGTGTGGGTGACCTGTAAAGAGCTGTACTGCTGGTAGTCAGTGTAGGGTGCCAGGGGATACCATAGGTGTGATGGGGATATGGGTAGGGGGGAACAGGACATATGGGGACACCAGAGTGCTTTTGGCGTGCTGCTGAGTACCACCTCCCTGAGAAGGCAATGAGCAGGCAGAGCTGTACCATGGAGGGCGAGAACTGTGCCCTGGCTGTGACCTGCACCCCTCAAGTTTCCATCCTGCCCGAAAGACAGTGCRGGGACAGTGGTGGAACCCACTGCCCTGTGGTGGCAGAGATGCTGGTGGAATGTCCAGTGCCCGTGGGTGGTTATGGAGGGGCTGGGGCAGCTGCACACTCATCACTGGGAAGCACAACACTGTTCCCATGCCCATGTAAGGCCCTTCTTGCGCCCTGTGCCTTTGCTCAGGGATTTTTCCTTGCTTAGCAAACATCCCTCCCTCTCTCCAAGAGGSATGGTTGGATGGATGGACACTGGTATGTATGTGACACACACAGCCTGCCCCCTCCCTCCCTCCCTGCACCAAAACTGCCCGCCCAAAGCCGCGGGGGAGTATATTCCTTTCAAAAGTGGGGGAACTGAGTCACAGAGCCCTGCCTGGGGGCAGCGGGAGACAGGGAACGTGGTGTGGGGTGCAGTGCTTCTGGGGCTGTGTTCAGGCGTGGATGAGCCCCTGTGTTGGCACGTGCCGGYAGTGGCACGRCCAGGATCTGGTGGTGACACTGYTCCCCTGACTGAGGATGCTCTGAGSAGTGGGGCCATGCAGGCATGTCCCAAACCAAGAGATATCCTGGGAGTGTTCCCACCCCCCCAGGATGCCTTCACTCTGACTGTGGCTAGATTTTGCCTTGATGCTGGTCAGAGAGGCTGAGAARAGATGGGGGACGATGCAGCTTCCCGTAGTGGGAGCTGGCCCCGTGACGGGTGGTTTGGCTGGGGGACAGGGAGCGCTGTGGTGTTTGGCTGCCGAATCGGCTGGCCATCGCTGGTGCTTGGTTCTGGGAAATGGCGCCTGTGCCAGCCCCTGGGCCTGGAGAGGCTCCAGCCTGCCCTGCTCGCCCCTGCCACACCGGGGCCCGCTGGTGCTGGGGGAGTGGGGGTGCTGGGCTGTGCCAAGAGGRGAAACTGAGGCACATCACATAGCAAGGGGCCAACGGGTCTAGGGGCTGTCCCCCAGTGCCTCTTGGGGAGCTGAAAGAGTGCGCTGGAGCCATGCCAGGCTGCTGGGCCACGTGTGTGTGTGTGTACCGTGTATGTGAACACGTGTGTGTGAGTGCACGACTGTGTGCTCACAAATGGGTGCATGAGCGCATGAGCTGCAGGGAAATACACGTGTGTGCAAGAACATCCATCTGTGTTTGCAAGAACATCCATCTCTGTGTGCAAGAACATCTATCTGTGTGCAAGAACATCTATCTGTGAGTGCAAGAACATCTATCTGTGTGTGCAAGAACATCCATCTGTGTGCAAGAACATCCATCTGTGTGCACGAGCACGCTCGCACACAGGCGGGTGGTCACATGCATGTGCTCCCAGGTCACTGCCATCTATCCCCGCTGGCCTGGTGCCAGGCCTGGCTTGTTTTTCAAGTGCCCCCTGCGATGGGACTCCGGGGGGGTGGGTTTGTCCATCATTAAACCGGGGGCTGGAGCAGAGCCAGGGCCAGGCAGCGAGGCATGTCCCGGCCAGAGCAATCGCTCGCAGTGCCCGCGGCGTTGACGGGCCCTTGGTGGTGAAGGGACGCTCTAGGACCCACGGCAGGGTGGGTGGTGGTGATGGTGGTGAAGGGACATGCCACCCCTCAGCTGGCGCTCGGGATATCCCCGCTTGTAAAACCAGTCAGAACTAGGAGGGTAGAATGAGGCAGGGAGCTGTTGGACACTTCTGGGCAGGCTTGGCTCTGGGTGATGGGCACCCTGCAGCCATGCAGTGGCCAGGGGCCCAGGCAGCGTTGGGGGGCATGGCCAGGTGGTGTACTGCAGGTTCCCGGTGGCTGTGCCAGGAACACGGGCTGCAAGGAGGRGACATCCACGTTCCAGCTGTGGCAGGCTCTTGTCATGGGACTTYGTGGCTGTTCGGTCCCTGCTCCCTGCCCCAGCCACTCTGCCTCCTCCCAGTGCTGTTGAGGGGATGACGTACTGGTCACACGGGAGCTGCCCGTCCGGTCCCTGTCCCCGSTGCCCCCGTTCAAAGCCATCCCCCCGGTGTTTGGCACAGGTAATTAGCAACACCCCTGGTCTCCACAACAGAGTGGGCGGGGCGGGGGTGGGGGGGGGAAGGAATAGTGCAGGAATTTGTCCTTGACCCTGCACGGSCCCAGTGGGGCTGGAAGGGTGGGGGGCTGTGGGGATCAGCCCTACCCCAGTGCTGTGCCAGGTCGTGTTTGTGCAGCAGGTCCTGGAGGGGGTTTTGGGTTTTTTTTTTTTCCCTGCCTCTTTCCTTTTTCCCCTTTGTTACGTCACTGCCCAAATATTCGGCCTCTCAGCTCTGGTGGGGGGCCGGCTCGGCTGCTTGCAGGACTGGGGGCCCTTCTCTGCACCCTCGGGGTGCTGTGTGGAGAGGGTGGGCAGGGGAGAGGGGATGCTGAGACTGGCCACGCTCACTGCAATGGTGAGCACTGGCAAGGACTGGCCTGGGAGGTGTCAGATGAGGCAGTGAAGACCACCAGCCTCCCTGTTTGGCATCTCCCAGGGCTGCATCCATCTTTCCAGAGCCCTGGTGTGGTGGGAAGCAGGGTTCAGGTATGCCTCATTTCCCACTGATTTTCTCCCTTCTCAGACCAGTTTGCATTCCCCATGGCCACCCCTCCTGAGACCTGCCCTGGGAAGGGTGCTGGGTCCCTGGGAGCTCCCAGGACCCTCCAAAAGGTGGCACTGATCCCAAAACAGCTGAAAAGTCTGGCTCAAGAAGGGCTCTACGGGCCCTGCACTGGGGCTTATCCCCTTTTGCTTTCATCTCTGGAGATAAACTGCACCTGGGTGCCTGGTCCCCAGGTTGCCTTTGTTCCACAAACATGTGGATGTACATGCGATGCAGCTGTGATTCTCAAGGGTCACAGAGGAGCTGTGTCATGCATGGCGTTGTCTGGGGGGACTGGGAGGACCCTGTCACTGGARCCACTTTGCAAACTGCTGGACCTGTTCCCACTGGCACTTTGACCCGATGGCTCCAGGACGTACTTTGGCGGTTGTAGTTCAAGGATGTTGTCAGGACTTCTGTGGCCGTGTCCTGTGAAAGGGACACATGATGTCCCCAGGGGACAGCTCCTGTCACTGCCCCTGGGATGGGGACAGGGACGTACTATCACTGCCCTTCGCTCACCCACTCATTTCCATCCCGTTCAGTTGCTGATRCTTTCCCATCTGGCCCCAGCTCTTCCGCTGCTAATATTTCCCAGGGTCTGGGAGCCATCCTGTGGCTGCCTCCTGAGGGCTCTGGGGCCTGTGCAGGGGTCTGTGCTGGAGCTGAGCTGGGGTCCTTGTTGTGCTCTGCTCGTACCGGATGTTCATTGCCCCTCCATCCTTGTTACAGCACTCCCATCTTTTTGGGATGCTTGTTTTTTGTGGGCTGCGGTATTGGTGGGACTTGTTTAGGGTTGTCAGTGGACCCTGGCTGTGGGGTTTTGTCCCTAGAGTGGTGGCTGTTGGGATCCARCCCTGTGCTGTTGGGTGCTGGGGAAGGCAGAGGGGCTGGCTGGTGCTTGCTTTGGGAGGGAGGTGAGGAGATGCCCTCCAGCGATGTTTGGCTCTGTCGCTTTGTCCTTGGCAGCATGAAGGGTCATTTTGGTACTCCCATCCCATGGCACTGTTGGATTGCTGTGGAAACTGAGGCATGGAGGGGCTGGGAAAGATCTCTGGGAACTGAAGYGTACTCACAGGGGTGGTGTCCCTTAGAGGCACTTGGAGGAGGACAAAGGGAGAACCCCTTACCACAAACCCCTCCCTGGTGACTTTTGAGGGGGGTGGCAAGGTAGGAGGGGTGGTGGGGTCCTGCACCGCTCCAGCARAGCCAGTTCCAGCCTTTTGGCTGAGCCCAGGGCTTGAGGACGGAAATGCAAACAGGAACGGGGAGGCGTTGGGTGAGAAAATGTCAACAGCACTGGGCTGAGTGCCTGGCTCGCCGCCTCCCTTGGCCAGCTCGCCACKCTCTGGGCCGCTGCTGGTGGGCTTCCCCTCTTTGCTGTGGGGTCTCCTGGCAYTGAGCACTTGCTTGTACAGCAGGCCTGGGGCTGGGTTGCCCCGGGGGCAGCCAGGGAGACTAGGGCTCCATCCATCGACATGCAGCCCCCGGAGGAGGAGGAGGAGGAGGGAGACAGGAGGAAGGCCAGGGGGATGCTGGGCACACTCCAGGTTTGGGACAAGTGAGGGGGGACTGACGTGACATCACGTGCTGAGGGACAGACGGGGCTTTTCCAGCATTTAGGCTTTGATTTTTAGTTGAGAGGTGGGCTGCTAAATCTTCACATCCTCACCAACACTGGGGGTCTGGGACACCCAAGGACCATTAGTCGGGCGCTTGGTCCCGCATATGGCGGGGGGACACCAGGTTGTGCCAGGGGGTGCCAGGCAGGCCCCAAGCAGGGCCCCACACACCGGTCCCTGCCACCCCCCCCGCCAAGGGCACAGGGACGCTGGTGGCGTCACACGGGGCGATAAGGCCCCGACCCCGCTGCACCCCGCTGCCCGCTGCGGCCCCTCCGCACCGGGTCCGAGGAGCTTTGAAGGGGGAGGCGGCGGAGGTGTGGGAGGGGTAATTGTTTTTTTTTTGGGGGGGGGGGGTAATTCTGCCCACCTGCCGGTGCCCCTACCTCAGGGCGAACTGCTCGAGTCAGGCTCCCGGTTGCCTTTAAGGGCGTTTTTGGGGGAGGCGAGGGGAGCGGAGCGGGGCCGGACTTGGAGCGCGCCGTGCAGCTGGGGAGAGGGAAGAGAAGAAAGAGGGAGAAGAAGCGAGAGAAGGGAGGGGAGTGGTGGAAAAAGTCGACCGGGACCCCATTCCTCCCCAGAGCCGGGGCCAGCGCCCCCGGGGTCCCCAGCCCCCGGCCGCCCCGGGGGTGCGGAGGGGAGCGGGGAGCCGGCGGGACCTCCCTGCGCCCCTCCATCGCCGGGGTCCCGCTTGTGGGGAGCGAAACCCTTCGGCTCTCCCCCTTCTTCCCTCCCCTCCCTCCTCCCTCCCTCCTTCCTTCCTTCCTTCTCCAGGCTTGGCCCGGGGAGGGAGGGGGGCTCTGCCTGCAGTCTGCCTTCACTCCTGCCCGCCCGGGCGACGCCGGGTTCCCGCCTGCCCCCCGCGGCCCCTCCGGCCGCCCCCCGCGCCCCCCGGGCCAGGTGAGGCTGCGGTGCCGTCCCTCTCGGATGTAGGCAGGAGAGACCCCGGATGGATTTCGGGAGCGTCATGAACCAGGTACGGGCGAGCGGCGAGGGAGCGGGGGTCCCCAGGCCCCCGGGACGGGGGGTGCTGGAGGGGGTGTCATCTCTCCAGGGGGCGGGGGCCACGCGTGATATCCRAGCGGTGAAGGGATGGTGCGTGGATCAGGGGGTGCTGCCCCCCGTGTTTGGGGGTCCGCAGTTGTCGGTCACCACAGGCAGTCTCGGGGTGCGGGGGTGCTTGAAGGGGCGATACGGTGCTCGCCGGGAGGAGGGCTGGGGCAGGGGATGAGGGCCGGTTTGCTGCCGGCTGGGACCTGTGAGCGGCTCCGGGGGCCGTGCCCCCCGTACCCCTCTCCCCGCCTGGCCGGGGCCGGTGAGTCTCAGGGTTCCGCGGAGGGGGGACACACGGGCGCTGGGGTTTGCGTCCCTCCCCCCCTCCGAAGTGCGTAGGGACACGTCCCCGTGGAGCGAGGAGTGCGCGGGAAAGCGGGGTCCGCCCCCTGCACCCCGCTCCCGCCCCGCAGCCGGGGGGAGGCGATGCCGGGCGCCTGTAACCCCCGCGGGAGGGACGCGGTGGGGGGCTGCACTGGGCCGGGACACTCTGGCAGCCCACGGGTTAAGCCCCCTGTGCGGCGGCACCGTCAATGGTTAAACTGCGGGTTAATGAGTGGCGAGGCAGCCCCGGCGGGTGCCRGCCCCCCCCGCCGCCCCCCCGGGCAGGGATCCCCGGCCCCTCGGCGCCGCCGGGCCCGCAGAGGGTTAACTCCGTCAGGGCAGGTCCCGGCGCAGATGTTTTTGGGCTGTGCTTCTGGGAGAGGAAACGGCTGAGCGAGGGAGGCATCAGCCCGCTTRGGTTTAAGGGGAAAACAAGGAAAAAAAGAGAAGTGCTCCGTTCCCGGGTGCCCGAGCCCGCTCGGCACTGGTGTCAGCCCTGGTGCGGGACCGGTGACCCCCGGTGTGTGCGGGACAGCTGGCAGGGACAGTGGGGTGACAGTGGCTGTGCCCCCCGGGTACTCAAGGCACTTGAGTCTGGGGGTTTAGGGGGGCAACCAAGCAGGCATCTCTTGTTCCTACAGTGGGACGACAACGTGTGTCCTGTCTGGAGTCTGAAGCTACCCCCAGGGCAAGTGGATCTGTAGAAAATGAGCCTCCACCTCTCACCCTCTCTAATGAAGCCTCTTGATTAGTGATCCTTCTGGCCCTGGGCAGGGTGCTGGGCCTTGGGGCTGCACACCCTCAACCCCCCTTTTGGGGTCCCGACTTGGGGGTCTGTTTGCCCCTGTCCAGGGCCACCTTCCTGCTTGCTTTGCCTTTATCTGGTCCCTGACCTYGTGCAGCCCATCCCTGGGGTGGATRCTGGGCTATCCAGTCACAATGCCAGCAGTCCCTGATCAGCACTGGAGCGTCCCTGCTGAGTGTTGGGACACAAGGGAGAAGAGCAGCCCCACAGCACAACTCCTGGRCAGAGGGCAGCATTTTCATCTCTGCTTCTTCCTCCTATTCTCTCATCTTCTCAACACTATTGATGAGGGTACACCAGATTTGGAGGTGCTGCTCAGCATTTCGGTTTCACTGCKGTGTTTTCAGCTCTGTTGCACAGGGTGAGGACACAGCAGTGACTCCAGTCTCCATCCACCTTGGACCTTTCTCTCACAAGCAGAGTCCCTGGGCTCAGTACCGGGGGCCAAAGACCCCCTGGGGCAGCCAGGGCTTATTCTGGCATCTTAACCACCCCTTGAGGTGGCTCTCAGACCCATGGTGCTGGCAGGTGCCCCTGATGGGAGGCAACCCAAASCTGTGGGATCTGCGGGAAGGCTCCCGCATTGGGCTCAGGGTGGGACACAGCCTGCTCACAGGTTGGTGTGCTGACCAGTCCCACAGGAGTGCCTGTGCTCCAGTGCCATGTCAGAATCCAGCTGTTGATTGGTCTCCTGTGGGAATCTGTGCCCTGGCCAGTCCTGTGTGGGAATCACTGCTCTGACCAATCCTGCATGAGAATCAGTGCTCTGACCAATTGCCTGTCAGAATCCATGGGTTGACCAACCCTAAGGGAGAATCTGTGGAGTGATTAATCCCATGTGAGAATCCCTGTGCTGGCCAATGCTGTGTGACAATCCATGCATTTACCAATCTCTGGTGAGAATCCATGCACAGACCAAGCCCAGATGTGAATCCAGTTGCTGTCCAAGCTCTTGGAAGCATCCATGCATTGACCAGTCCAGTGTAAGAACCTGCTTATGGACCAGTCCTGGTGAAAGCCCCTGCATCAGAGTCTGTCCCAGCCAGTCCCAGAGTGACTGTTCCTGGTCGGTCCCTGGTGCGGGAGCTGCTCCCTGGCTGATCCTGGTGGCTGGTTTGGCTTCGGGGAGTTGGTGAGGGTATGGGGAGATCCTGGTACTTTCTCTTGGGGAAGGCTGGTGTACAGGGGGGCTGTGACCCCATGCTCTCCCTTAGGCTGGTTGTGGGGTCCCCATGGGACTGGGTTGAGGGGTGTCCCCACAGGGGGGTGGCAGCACACATGGGTGGTACTGGTGGCAGAGCAGGGCAGGGCTGGGGCTGCGGGGCCAGAGCCAGGCAGGCGCGTGCTGGCCCGCGGGGCTGGATCCAGACCTGCTGCCTCCAGATGTTGCCTTTTTAGGCACTGGAGCACAGCACATCCCTGTCTGTAGCCGGCCCTGTGCCGAGCCAGTTCCTGCAAGCAAAGTAGGGACAGTCCCTGTCTTGGTCATGCAGAGGCATCTCTGCCCTCTCCTGACCCCCCAAAACACCCTTTCCTCCCCAGACGGGGTCAGGGATGCTACCTACTCCCCCTTTCCCTCATCTGCACTTGGCAGCACTAGGGCTGATTGCTCAAACCGCCCCGGAGCCGGGACCTGCCCTTATTTGGGTTGAAACCAGGGCTATTTTGGTGCAGCTGCCTCCATTGCAACCCCTTGAAGCTTCTCTGTGTGTTGTTTGTCCTGTCCTGTCCTATATCCCTGTGCCAGGGCTGCTGGCCAGGCCAGCCGTGGGCTCCTGCGGGCCATCATCCTCCCAGTGCGCCGTGTGTCCCAGAGTGCCAGTGGTGCCCCCCACAGCCACTGTGGGGTGGAATGGCTGGTGTCCCCTGTGGCATTTCATSCCTGCTTTGCAGGGCTGTGTGTACCGGGTAACCTCTGTCCTGGTCCTGCTGCCGCCTTCCTGGCGGGGATGGGCCACAGGGCGGCTCCTCATCGGCATTCCAAGGGAGAGACAGAGGAGATAGCGTTTGTCCCAGATTGGGGGGCATCCCTGGGTGGCKCTTTGCCCTGTGGTACCCTCCCTGGTGCCTCCAGCATCCCTTGGGCAATGCCGGGGCAGGACGGACTTGGTGGCCTCCATGCTGGCATGGGCACTGTCCAGGCATCCATGTGTGGAGGGGATGGGACAGTGACAGTCCCTGACCCAGCTGCAGGGCGGGCTGRGGATGCTTGGAGGAGAGCCTGGGAGCGGTGAGACCTCCGTGCCCCAGCATCAGCCCAGTCTGACTCACCCTGAGCCGCTGGCCAAGCCGCTCCCCTGCCCTTCGGCGCATCTGCCAGTTACCCCACCCGAAGGGAGAATTCCCAAAAGCAGCACTCCTGGGTACTGATGGGTGCAGAGAGGGGCTGTGTGGTGCATGGGGTGCTGCTCCCTCCCAGGCACCCCCATGCCGGAGGTCCGGGGCTCTGTGTGTCTGCCCTGTGCCTCACGCACCGTGGCTGTGCTGGGCAGGGTGGAGCTGGGATGGGGGGGGAGCGGGCGTGCATGGAAACATGCCGTCCTCCCGCCGGGGACATGTTGCATAAACAGGAGTTTTGCCAGAGCTGCAAAAAATGTGAGGGCAGGAGCAGCCAGCACGTGGTGTGTGCAGAGGGTACCTCACCTCTGTGCAGGGCAGAGGGGTGACCAGAGCACAGACYCCATGGTTTCTTGTGCTTGGCAGGGGAGAAGGATGCTGCAGCTGGCCACACTGGGAATGGGGGAGCAGAGGTGCTGTAGAGGGAAAAACCTTCACCAACAACCCCAATTTGATGGTGCCAGCCTGTCCCCTGGAAGTGTCTTCTGCTGTGAGGTGCCCAATGGTGCCCGCTGTGGCTAAGAGAGGGCTCAGCCGGGCTTGGTGGCTGTGGCTGGGCTGGAGGGACTGGTGAGGAGGGGAAGGGCTCTGGGGATGGCTGGGGAAGTTGCTGTAGTCTGGGGCTGTCCCTTCGACCCCCCTTGCTTAAAGCAGGGTCTCAGGGAGAGCGGAGAGTTGTGGGTGCATGGGGCGGTGATTTGCAGCCCAGCTGGGATGTAGGTGACAAGAACTGAGATGAACTTGCCTGGGAGGAAGTGGTCCCTCATGGGGTGGTGTGGGACCCATGAGGTGGGGTCACATGAGCTAAGCTGGCATTTATGCTGCCCTAGCATTGTCCCGTGGGATGCCAGTGTGGCCACTGTGTCACATTCCTCTTTGACAGCTGCAGGGTGGCTTGGGCAGGGGAACCGCTTCCTGGGCTGGAGGGAGAAGGGTCACATTCTTTCTGAGTAGTGGGGCCATGGGGGTCTGCCTAATGCCARCTTGCTTTTGGAGCATCTGGGATGCCAGTGTCCTTTTTGACAGCCTGTGTGTCCTGCTCCAGCCACACCAGCTGGGCTGGCTTGCCAACATCTCAGTGCCTGGCTGTGGAAAGTGTCTCTGTTGTGCTAGGGTCTGTGTGAGGGCTGTGACTGCTAGTGCTGCATCTGCTCCTGGCACAGTAAGGGTCAGCACCAGTCCGGATATCGTCCGGCTCCGGAATGTTTATCGGAGCTCCTGGGGAAGGGAAAAACAAAAACCGCCACCCAAAGAAAGGGATATGCGTCAGAGATGGGCCTGGATCACCCACCGGCAGCCGGATGGGCCATGCTGTGGGCTGTGGGCCAGTGCTCGCCCGGCTCCAGCAGCCCAGCTGGGCAGACCCCAGCACACCCAGTACTRCGCTGATCCAGCCCGTTCCTGAATCGCAGGGCCTCTCCATGGAGGTTTGTTTTCCCCCAGCCTTGCTGGCATCTTGCAGGTTGGGGCTACACCGCCCGGGGATGCTCCGCTGGAGCAGCACCTGGCAGTGGCCCTGTGCCCTTCCACGGGTGCAAGGTTGTTTTACTGAGGGAGGAGGAGGGAGAGGAAGGAGGTGCTGAGGGAGCGAGGTGTGAACGCTGGTTGCAGCATGGAGAAGGCTCTGAGGTGTCTCATCCCCGGGTATGATGTGGATGTCTGCATTCCTCCAGCCTCTCTCAGTTCTTGTGAAATGGTGCCGAAGTCCTGTCAGGGATCTGTGGTGCAGAGGTCAGCCCCTGAGCTGCAGCTGGAAGGGTTAGGTGGAAGAGGCATCTCCTGAGCTACWCTGTGCTGTGTCGGTGTGGCCAGAGACTGCCAGGGGTTTGCCAGCCAGGTGTTGATTTCTGGGCTTGGACATGTCAAGGGTGTCGAGTTTCTCTCGGTGTAATGACAGCTGGTGATGAGCGAGGGAGCCCATCATCACTTTCCAGCGGAAGGCTGCAGGGTGTGCCCGGCCCTTTATGAGACATCAGAGAGTCCCATCACTCGTGGCCACGGGGCCTCATTTGCCGGGAAACTGATTTTTCTGCTCTGCAAARCTCCGGTCTGGAGGCAGCAGCTTGCAGTGGGATGTGACTGCTGGGAGGGATGGGGCTGTTGCTCGACCTGGGGGGCCGAGTGGGCGGGTGGGGGGCCGTGGGGGGCTGTGGGGTGGGCGGCAGCCCTGCTGCGCCTCGTTCCTCGCATTCCTGGGCAGGGCTGCCGGGCGGCGGGGTCGGCGGCGGGGGCCAGCCGGCAGGAATGCAAACACCGGTGAGGGGAGAAGAAAGGCCGCTGTGTCTGCCACGGCAAAGCGAAGCCTGGACCAGGGGTGTGCAGGTCTCCCTGCCTTTCCCACTCCTCCCTGCACTGAGGGATGCGGGAATCCCTGAGGACAGAGGTAGTGGCTGTTCCCGGGGTGGCTGCAGTCCTGTATGGAGTGATACTCTCGTGGTCCCGTGGGGCAGGAGGGGTGCTCCTGCACCTCTTGGTCAGGAACTGAACTTCCCTAGGGAGGAGTCMATTGTCTGGGACAGCGTCTTCCTTCTTCTCCTTGAACTGGGGGCATTTTTGAGCCAAATTTGGGAGAGGGATGGAAGCTGAAAACAGCTTTACGTTCCTGCAGTCCTCATAAAACTGCCTTTCTGGGGTGAGAGAGTGCCATACAGCTTGGACTGGTGTCTCCTGTGCATGGCAAGAGTGGCGTTGGGTGAGCACAAACCCATATTAAACTTCAGAGATTCTCAAGGGGAAGGAAAACACGACCACAGGCACCCCAATTTTTTCCCTTTTCCAGCCAGAGGTCCTGCAAACTTCCTCATGCCAACAGCAGAGGAGGGCTGGGCATGGACTGTACCTGGCTGTGGGACCAGCGTGTCCCGTGGTGGGGGAGMTGTGCATCTCCCCCCAACTCTGGCCCTTTAGCTGGGGCTGGGCGGGGGCCAGGGGTGTTTGTTGAGCATCCCCAGAGGAAGAGCACGACGGTGTGCGGGGCACGGTGCAGGGTACKGCACAACCCTCGTCAGCTCCGTCCGCAGCAGCGGCTCGCTGCCGGAGAACATTCCAGGGAGGCTGGCGCTGGGCCAGCACCGCGGGGCAGGGAAAGGGGCCTTTTATGGAAGCGTTTCTGCATTAGAATAAAATCATAATAATAATGCGCAGGGGAAGGGAGCAGGAGGAGGAGGAGCCCCTGAAGAAAACAGCTAGAARGGATGGGAACAGACTGGCAGCCGGGGAGGGGAGCAGACACTGGGCATCACCCTCTGGGCACCAGCATGGGATGGGATATGGGTGCACCAAGTGGGGTGCTGGGGGCAAATTCTTTTTACGGCCTGGGGCAGGAGGAGCAGAGTGTGTACCCATACTGCCCTGGTTGGCGACCGACCCCTGAGAAGTGTTTGCTGTCTTGGCTCCATCCTGGGACGGGGCAGGGGATGGCTGCCCAGGGGTCACTGCTCCTGGTGGGTTTTGTAGAGGACAAGGTGCCCCAAATCACCACAGGGCTGGAGTGCCTGTTCTCACTGCCCCAGCACCGATGAGGCRCTGCCTCTCCCACCCTGGCATGCTGCTGCTTCCCAGCGGACTGGGGTGCACGCAAAACCCAAGGTTAATTGTCAGTAATTGCCGCTGGTAATTAAGGTAACAATAGCCGGGCTGTTCAGCTGGCGGCTGCAGGAGCTCACGAGGCTGGGCTGGGGTTTGTTCCAGGAGCTGCTCTTGGCATCAAGCGTTTGCCCTGTGCCATACTGTGCTGTGCCCGCCGTGCCCACCCTGGCTGGGGCTGTCCTGGCTCCCTGGCCAAGGACAAATGGCACAGCTGCCATGGCCCTGAGCCCACTCCCCTTCCCAGGGAGCCAGCCTTGACCTTGGGATTCGTGCTGTGTTCCTGCCTGGTGTGGCAGGACCATGGGTGCCCCCGTCACTCACTTGGGTGGGTGCTGTTTTCCCTGTAGGGTGGGTGGGGGATGAATGACACGTTCCAGTCCCTTCCCATGCCCTATGTTGGACAGGGTGCTTCAGGGACTAATCCTGGCTCTCCTCTTCTTTCTTGCAGGCTGTGACCCCCTGCTCCCCCACTGTCAACTATGAGCTGGTAAGTGACACCTCCAGTGTGAGCCATGGGTGACAGCCAGGGCTCTGGGGGTGCTACAGCATCTTGCTCTGGGTGTGGGACTTTCTCTGTCCAGGGGCTTCAGGATGTGAGTCTTTCTCCCTCAAAACCGCAGGGGTCCTGAGCTGGGGSTAAGGGCACCCCCCATTTCCATGCTGTACCCTCCACCACTGATGGCTGAAGGGTATCCCACAGCTGAGCAGCACAAGTTGGAGCARCCCAGCCATCATGGGACTCCTGGAGCTGCAGCTATCAGGGAAGAGGGGCTTTCAGGGCTGCTGAGAGGGACAGGCAGATAGGACGTGACTATCCAGGGCTCTGGGGTCCCCTGGCGCAGAGGGCCTTCCCTCTCTAGCCAAGGCCGGGGCCGTTTCTTGCACACCCGGTGATGGCTGTACCAGATGTGCCTTTGGCTCGAGGCRCCCAAGGCCGTGCATTTGCAGCTCTTGCTATTGTCACCCTCTGCTTTTGTCTCTCCTGGGGACCTTTAATGATCTGCTGGGGCCAGGGCAACGCACGGCCCTTCCCACCATGTCCTCTCTGGACACCAGGAGAACAGCTGGACACACCATCTCCGTTCASCCTGTCCTGGGGAGGGCGGGTGTCRGGTGCTGGGCAGACAGCCACTGCCCTTTGCCACACTGCTCCAGGCCATGACTGGGCTCTGCGGGTAACAGGGCACTGGGATGTCACCTGGAGCAGATCCACGGCCAGGCAAGAGGTTTGGGGAGCATGACACCATGGTGCCTACCAGGCAGCATCTTGGCAGCAGAGCAGCTCCCCTGCCCGGTCCCCAGCCAGGCCATGCCTGTGGCAGCAGGCAGAGCAGGCACGTGGCAGCAGGGAGACTGGCATAGCCTGGGGCCGGTGCAGCAGCCCTTCCTTTTTGCTCCAGACGTGTGCCAAGGCTTGCTGGGGCAGGCGCCGGGGAGAGGAGGCCCTGGCAGGGTTTCAGCTCAGGCTCGGCAGCCTGGCAGTGCTGCAGTATCCATGCCTCACATGGGGCCCTGGGCTGGGCACCCCATAGCTGGGCAGGGGTCTCACCTGAAAAGTGACTGTAGGAGATGACCACCTGCAAGCTCGTGAGGGCAGCACAGGAGCCCAAGTGGGTAAGGGCATGGGGTAGCAGTGGAGCATGCTGCCTGCCCTGGGGCCCCACGGTGGTTATCTGCCCTGGGTTTAATCTCTGCCTGYACCCCCCGCCCCTGCCAACCTTCTTGGGCACTTATCGACAGCAAAAATGTGTTGGCTTTGAGCTGGGACCGTTACTGTGGCTTTGGGAGGAAATTGAAAGGGGTTTGCCCTGTCCCGTGGATGGAAATGTCTGTTCTGGCCCTGCTGCCAAGTATAGAGCAGCCTGGTTTTTGGGGTCACCTCCATCCTCCTGGTCCCAAGACTCCCACAAACCACCCAGCTGGGTCCTTTTGCTGTGCCACCCCTGGGCACCACAACCGCCATCCCCAGACAGAGTTCTCTCCCCTGCTTGCTGTATTTGGGGTCCAGACACTCTCCCCCACCCCAGGAAGTTAATTTCTGTCCCCAGCCTYATTTCAGAGCTCTCTCCAATGACATGTCATCAAATTTTCCCATGTTTTGAATATCTATGGCTCTGCTCCCACTGGGGTTCTCCGCTGGTCCTGTGGGATCAGGCTTATCTYAGGGAGCTGGTCCTGCTGGTGGCTAGTGCCCAGTCTGGGTGTGGGACTGCACTGGGCTTGCCCTCTTGTTTACTTCCCAACTGTAAGGTTTGACCATGGAGGATCCATCTGGAATTGCAGAGATGTGAGGGGCACCAGGTGCCCATCATGGAGCGGACTCTGGGTTCAGCCAATGCTTCCCATTGGCAACAGTGGTCAAGTGGCAGTGGTGGTGGCTGAGAGACAGGATGGCAGCATCCTTGGTACCTGAGTATCCCAGCTCTGCTCTTGGGTTTTGGGGGATTCCCGACCTGTAGGAGGAGCGGACGTGTTGGCAGGCAGGGAAGGAAATGGGACTGTGGTGCATTTCTAGGAAGCACCAGAAATAGCCATGGGGAACTTTTGACCCTGGCCCCTGCTCCGTGTGTGGGTGTCTCTCTCTCAATCTCTCATCTCTCACTTGCCTTTTTCTCACCCTGTCCTTGCTCCTGCCTGCAGCCATCCCCGGGGGAGAGCATCACCAAGCAGGTAGACAGCCTGGTAAGTGCGACCAGTCACGGAGGCTGAGCTCTGCCTCAGGATCTCCTGGGGGGTCACTTGTACCTGTCCCATTGCTGCAGCCAAAATCCYTCAGCCTGGAATGCTCCTCTGGTTTCCCAGCATACCTGGGATCCCCCAGTCCTCTCTCCCTGCCAGCCAAGCTGATGATGGCCATGCCAAAGACCRAGCGAGGTGCCCAGGGGTGGTGGCAGAGGCGGTGGTGGAGACCAGCATAGTGGGGCTGAGGCTTTTGCTGCAAAGCTGGCTTTCCTGTCTTGGAGCTGGGGATCTGTTATTTAATCTGTGGACATGAAATTGCTAAGACAGTGTAGACAAATGCGCTGCCAAAGTCAACGAGGACAGYTTCCCCCATGCCCGCAGCCAGCTTGCTGGCCTCCCTGTGCACTGGGGCCGGGGCCCACGGGATGGAGGAGGCATGGTGATTCCCATGAGAAAGAGGATGAAAGCCTTCCTCACCTGASATCTGGCTTTGCCTCATCCCTTTGGTTGTCCAGGATGTGTTTCCAACCCCGAKAAAGAGCATCCTTAGCTAGAAAAATCCAGGCAGGAGCCTCCTTTGCTGTCTTTCAGGSAAGTTCCCTGGTATTTCTGAAGCCTTTCTTGTGCCTTTCATCACCCTGTCCAAACAGAAGGGACCTTCATGTTTTGGATGCTGCAGGGAGCTTGGGGACATGCCAAGCTAGCTTGGGACTGGAAGACATATTCTTGATGGGGTTGGCTGGGAGATCTTCAACCCAACGTGACTGGGACCAGTCCTGTGCTGGGTTGGACTGGGTTGTACTGGCTTGGCTGGAGCCTGTCTCCGTAGGGGACGTTTGCAAGGTCTCCCAGCCCAGAGGCAGCAGGARTGTTTAATAACAGGAGCGCTTGCTCCTATCAGCTGATCGCAGGCTGACTCTTCCTCGTGCAGGGGCTGGCGGCAGAGACGCAGTGGCTGCGGTTGGGAAGGGGGGAGCGGGCAGAGCCTACGGGGCTGAGCCTGTGGGACAGAGCCGGGGAGCTGGGGAGTGCCTGGGGAGCAGGGCAGAGCCTGTGGGGCAGAGCCTGTGGGGCAGTGCCTGGGGAGCAGTGCCTGGGGAGCAGGGTAGAGCCCGGGGAGCTGGGCAGAGCCTGTGGGGCAGAGCCTGTGGGGCAGAGCCTGTGGGACAGAGCCCGGGGAGCAGGCAGGGCCTACGGGGCAGAGCCCGGGGAGCAGGGCAGAGCCCAGGGAGCTGGGCAGAGCCTGTGGGGCAGAGCCTGTGGGGCAGAGCCCAGGGAGCTGGGCAGAGCCTGTGGGGCAGAGCCTGTGGGGCAGAGCCCGGGGAGCAGGGTAGAGCTCAAGGGCTCTTGGCAGGGCTGAGGCACTGGAGGGCCCTGGCAATGGGGAATCCGCTCCCCCAGCTCTGGAGGGTGCCAGCAGTGGACCCGCCATGGTGTGGAAATGGATTAGCAAGGGGCTTACTGCTATCCAGGTACGGGGAGGGAGAGGGGTTCTGGTGTCCACACCTTGCTTGCCCTTCTGTGCCTCAGTTTACCCATGCAGCAGCTCGGAGTGAGTCCTGGTTCCCCCATGTCAGCTCTCCATTGGGAAAGGCTGTGGATTTGGAAAGCTGCTGTAGCTGGGTGGGGTGACAAGGACTGATGRGGCTCCCCTGGCCTGTGGATGTGGGTGGGGGACCCCAGAGAAGTCTGTTATGAACATTTGGGGCAGAGCACAAGTCACGGTGGGATCCCAYCCTGATTGCTGGTGGGTGATGCAGGGATGAGCCCACATTCAGGCTTGTTCCATGCACCCTGGCTCTCCCAGGAAAGTTTTTACCTCTTTTGTTTGTTGCCTTTTAACTCCTTATTCACCCTCAACAATGCTGGGGGTTTTCTGGGGTGAGCAGGCAATTTGGRACAGCCTGAGAAGAAACTGGAGGGGAAATTGTCCCTACTGTCACTACTGTCCATGCATGTCTGGGCACTCAGGTGAGGCTGCTGCCTTCTGGAGCTGCTTTGGCTGGGACGGGAGACACTGTCCCCAGGCCCCAGGGCTGCTGAGCCTGGCTCTGCACTGCAGGGCACCCTGACCTTGAAAGGGGCATGCAAGGCTGGTGGAGGGCGATGCTGGCTGTCCATGGGAGCAACCCTGGGACCGTGCTGGGTGAGCAGAAGGTGGCAGGTGAAGTGTGTCAGGGAAATCTCTCTCCCACCTCCTCCTGCTGCCTTTGGTGTGCTGGTTGTRGGATGCTGCAGCCCCGAGGAGAGTGGCAGCAGTCCTGCAGCTCTGGGGACCAAGGGGGCATCCCAGGAATCAGCTGCAGGATGCATCTCTTATTTCTGGTCCTTCCAGGCGTGTTGCCTCTGTGAGATGAGTCTTTAAATGACTCCTGCTTATTAGCTGGAGATACTAAAACTAATGAGGTGCAAGTGTGTTTTTCCTCGGTGGCTTTTTTTGGAAACACTGCTTTGTTTTTCGGCTGAGGTCACAAAGTCACAGAGCAAGCCGGCTGCAAATGAAATTTTCGAGGCCGGAGARCATGCATAAATAGAAGTTTCCTGCTCCAAGAGCTCAAACATTTCCTCCAGGCATTTGGCTCGGTGGAGTTGGGGCCAAAGCAAACTATCATGCCTGGCTGGCTCCTCGATACCGCTTGGGCAGCGAACCTGCCCCTGCTCTGGGCAGGACCAAAGCASCTCTGTCCCACCAGGTGTGTGTGCTCAGCTTGACAGAGACAAGAGGGACTTGTGACATGACTGAGACTGTGCCTACCTGCTCAGCATCCTCCCAAAAGGTTCTCTGCAACCCTTTGGCAAGGCACTGGCCCCACAGTGCCCATGGCAGCTRGTCCCAGCTGCATTGGGGTTGTGAGAGTTGGGTTTTGCTTATGGGATCGGAGGCRTTATGGTGCTGTCAAGATGCTTGTACCACTGGGATGATTGGTGGGAYTTGGAGACAGCAATACTTTGGGGGTGTTAGGATGCTCAGTGCACTGTGATGGGGTGGGATGCTTTGGCAGCACCATCACACCTGGGTCTAGCAGGACCCCTGTGCTGGCTGTAGCTGGGTCATGGCAGTAACTTGCTTCTCTTTGCTGATTCTTTAGGATGCTACAAAATCCCCCAGGAGYGGGCAGTCACGCTGCAAAACATCCAGGTAAGATGCTTCAGTTCCCCCTTCTGATGACCATCTCTACTCTGTCTGAAGCTCCCTCCCACCAGCACTTCGCTTCTCCAGCTGTGCTACACCCAGGAGGTGCTCCCAATGGAGAAGGTTCAGGGGTTATGCCTCACTATACCCRACCTGGTGCCCAAGACACCCCAAGAGGACTGGGAGCAGGGGAAAGGCTGCAGGCATCTGCGTCCCCATGTGTCTTGCAGGGTGGGGAAGGGTCCCCGTGTCCCCTCCCCATGCCATGTCGTGACAGCAGTCCTCTCCCTTGCCCAGGAGCATGAGCCTGACTGCAGCCATGGAGAGCAGCTGTGAGCTGGACCTGGTGTACATCACGGAGCGGATCATCGCCGTCTCCTACCCCAGCGCRGCCGAGGAGCAGAGTTACAGCAGCAACCTCCGTGAAGTGGCCCACATGCTCAAGTCCAAGCATGGGAACAACTATGTGGTGAGGGGCACAGCCTCACCCCCCAACCCTGTCAGGCTGGGGAAGGGGCTGGGTGCTCAGACCCTGGGGATGGGTGCTTGCAGGGGATGGATTCGGCATCCTTGTCTCTGTCTGGGCTCTGTTGAGGGAGGGCCTTTGCACTACAGTGGATAGATTTTTTTCTTCATTGAAGGTTATCAGTCCTTTTTGGACCCCATGGGAGTTTTTGGTTACTATACTGCCCTGTGGCAAGGTGTTACTCAGGGTAATGTGTCTGGGGAAACCTCTCATGGCAGGATCTGGGAAGGCTTTGGGGTGAGGAAGAGGTGAGGTGGCAGCAGGGGAGGAAGATGTCCTCTCACTCTGTTTTCCCTCTTCCCCGAAGCTTTTCAACCTCTCTGAGCGGAGACGTGATGTCACCAAACTTCACCCCAAGGTAGGTCACAGCTGTGAGAAGCAGAAGGGGTCCTGGGGTCCTCAGGGGGTCTGTGGGGCTGTCTGCATCTTCCTGTACAAGATGTCTGGGGGAGGAACGGTCACCTTTTCTATGCTACCCAGCTGGGAAAAACCCTGAGAAAGGCACTGAGACTTTGCACTTCGTTTGTGGTATCTCAGCCTGACTCCCACTGCCCTCCCAGCCCCCCACTCCCAGCCCCACTRTCTGTTTGGAATCTCCTGGGGACCTCCCTAAGACATTGTCCTTATCCCTGTGACAATGGGGGAGCCCTCAGAAGCTGAGCCAAGTAAGGTGGGGTGAGGGGCCTGAGATCTGGGACCACGATGGCCACCCTGGGCCAGGGATTTGGGCAGTGGGGTACAGGGTTGGGAGGTACAGGCAGAGCAACACAGTAATGCCCGCTCTGGGTACATGCCCTGGGCTTTGCACACTGGCCGGCTGGGACTCTGCATGGGAGTGCATGTGGATGTGACCCCAGTCTGTTCCCCCCGTTCAGGTGCTGGATTTTGGGTGGCCCGACATGCACACCCCTGCGCTGGAGAAGATCTGCAGCATTTGCAAAGCTATGGAYACGTGGCTCAACGCGGCAACACACAACGTGGTGGTGCTGCACAACAAGGTGGGCAGGACCCGTCACTGGGGCACAGCCATGGGGGCTCTGGGACTCTGTGGGGCTGCAGGACTTGGCCTAAGCAGCCTCAGAGGCTGAAAGATGTAGGGAATGTGGTTTGTGGCTTGGGCTGTGGGTAGGTGTCAGCACATATGAGTAGATTGGTGTGTGTCTAATAAGGGTTGGGGGTCTGTGGGCTCCATGTGCATGTAGGGACCAGTGTGGGATGGTCTGTGCCTGGGTGCTCACAGGCATGGCTGCCCCTGTGACACCTCTTCTGTGTGCCCACAGGGGAACCGTGGCCGGCTGGGGGTGGTGGTGGCTGCCTACATGCACTACAGCAACATCTCAGCCAGGTGAGAGAGACACAAGGTCCTGGGGTGGCCCTGGGGCCCACTGGTGGCCTCCATCCCAGTGGTGCTGGGGTRCTGGTGCCAGTACTTTCCTTCAACCTCATCTGCCCTTTCACCAACCCCACAGTGCTGAGCAGGCTCTGGACAGGTTTGCCATGAAGCGCTTCTACGAGGACAAGGTRGTGCCGGTGGGACAGCCATCCCAGAAGAGGTGGGTCCTGGCACAKCTTTGCAGGCTGGGCTTCTAACCCATAGGGTGGTCAGATGCAGGGGTCCAAGGCAGATGTTTCTGTGTGGGTCCTGCCCTGAGCTGCCTGTCTGCCCTCCAGGTACATCCATTACTTCAGTGGGCTCCTCTCTGGCAGCATCAAGATGAACAACAAGCCCCTCTTCCTCCACCACGTCATCATGCACGGCATCCCCAACTTTGAGTCCAAAGGCGGTAGGTGCTCCCAGCTGTTTCCCCCCAGCCTGCTTTCCCCCACATCACCACCCCACACTGCCTGGCCATGCTTGTCCTCCTTGGGGGATATTTTTCACAATTTCCTTCGCAGTTTGAATTTCCCTTTCTCTCTCAGAGACTGTTTACTCCTAGTATCAGGGTGCTACCCTTTTCTGGCAGAGATGCCCTCAGGGAAGGCGTTCCTGATGCTAGGCACTAATCTGACCTGTGGGGTGACAATGTTTTTCTGACAGCWTTTGGAAGGATGGCACCAGACTGGGATTGGGGTTTGGGATGCTGTACCCTGTCTGGGGGCTGGTACCTCAGCTAGATCACCGTCCCACCCCTATCCCCAGCCCAGCACTTGCCCTAGGTCCTACAGGACCCAAGCTGAGACGGCTTTGCCCTTTTTCAGCTCCTCCACAGCATCCTTTCTGCCCGTTGCAGATGTTGCCCTTGGTCGGTGCGGGCTGGCTGGGGCGGGGAGCGGCTGTTTGCCTTGGCTCCCTCCCTGTTTGGATTTCTCCCCCGTGACTAATCCCTGCCCTGGCCCCTCCGCCCAGCTGGCTAACAGCAGTGTGCCTTTTCTCCTTGCCTTGATGTCTTCCAGGTTGTCGGCCCTTCCTGAAAATCTACCAGGCCATGCAGCCCGTCTACACCTCGGGGATCTAGTAACTATCTCCTCGCCATGGGGCTTTCCTCCTGCCCACCCTGGGGGGCATGGCAAGCGGGGGAAGGTGGAGAGGGTCAAGGACAAGTCCCCTGCCGTGTTGTTGTCTGTGCTTAGTCTGTTTGGGGTGCAGGGAACTGAAAAAAAGGGCTTCCTTTTTTTTTTGGAGGTGGTAACTGGCTGTGCTGGGCCGCGCTGGACCCTTCTGCTGAGAGGGCTGTAGTGACTCTGCATATCAGCAGAGGGAGCCTGGGGCTGCGCRGAGCCTGGGGCTGAGTGTCCCCGGAGGGAGTGGGGATGGGGATGGGAACATCTCCCTGGGAGATGAAGGCATTTCTTCTCTCCCTGCCCAAAGAACTGCTCCTCCTTCCTGGATTAGTCCTCACAGATCACAGAATATTGTGAGTTGGAAGGGACCCACAGAGATCATCGAGTCCAACTCTTAAGTAAATGACCCATATGGGGATTGAACTCACAACCTCGGTGTTATTAGCACCATGCTCTGACCAGCTGAGCTAATATCCTCTTTCTTTATCCAAAAAAAGACTTTCGCCCTGTTTTAATCTTCCCACATTTTTTTCTGATGCTGCTCTTGGGAGCAGGCACTGGTGGAGGCAAAGCAGGAGTTGATTTCCCCATCCCCCCAGACTCTGCCAGCACCACATCCCAGTGTGGGTAGGACCCCTGGCTCCCGGTCTCTCTGGTGAGAGCGGAGCACCTCACCTCCAGGTTATTCSCATCGCAGCCCCCTGGACCAGGATCTCACTTCCATGCAGCCATGGGTCCCCGTTAGCTGAGATTTACTGCCATCCCAGCCTTGCCTTTCAGCTTTTAATAGACTGTTTATGGGATGCCTGTAATAAACTCCAGGTTTATCTTGCCTGTGAAATCCAACTCCTTTCTTCCCTTGTCCCAGGCTGCTGACGCCACCGCCCGTCGGCAGCCCGGCGGCGGTGCTCTGGGAGGGGAGGGTTTCCTGCAGGGAAACTGAGGCAGGGAGAAGAGTCTTCTCTGAGATTTCTCCCTCTGTGGAGAAATCCCTCTGAGACGTGGAGCCAGGTGGATGGCTGATAGCCCAGCCTCGGGGCTTGGAACTTGGTCAAACCCTCCCACMCAGCTGTTTTTGCACCTTTGCTGAGCTGTGCCTCAGTTTCACCTTCCCTGGGAATGGGTGGTGRTGGTGGACAGGACTCCCCCTCAGTCACAGGGAGGGCCAGCTCTGTGCTTTGCACCTTTCTGGATTTGGGTGGAAGGGCTGGTTGAGGTGGTGCCGGGAGTTCTTGAGGGGCTCTACAGCGCAGCTCACATCCCCCACCGTTCCTCTCTGCAGCAATGTGCAAGGAGACAGCCAGACGGGCATCTGCATCACCATTGAGCCTGGCCTGCTGCTCAAGGGCGATATCTTGGTAAGGATCCTCAGCTCAGCTCCTGCCGTAGGAAGCAGCCAGGGGTTGGGTGGTCGCCTTGCCTTGKGACTCCCAGATTCCCCCTTGCCCAGGTTTGGGGGCTTACCCTGATGGCCCATCCCCATTCTTCTCTGCAGCTGAAGTGCTACCACAAGAAGTTTCGCAGCCCTACCCGTGACGTGATTTTCCGTGTGCAGTTCCACACGTGTGCTGTGCATGACCTTGACGTCGTCTTTGGCAAGGAGGACCTGGATGAGGCCTTCAGAGGTAACCGCCCTGGCACTTCCCTGCTCCAAACTCCCTCCTTGTCCTGCCCCTGTAACTCTGGTGTCATCATGGGGACATCTGGGCACCCATCCCAGATCCACCCCCAATAAAACCGGGCACCCCYGCTCCATCTGCAGGGTGTGGTGCTGCTCGGGAAGTGGTGGCACCATCATCCCTTTCATTGCCAAAACCATTACTGATGCAGAGGGGCTGCGTCAGGGTTCGTCTGAGATGCACTGACCCATGCAGGGATATCCCCTAGCAGCTCCCAGCCTTAAGCTGGTCTGTAGGTGTGCTTGGGGTGATTGGCTACTACTGGAGGAATGGATGGAGATGGTTCCTTTATTCTGCTCTCTCCTTGCCAGATGACCGCTTCCCCGAGTATGGGAAGGTGGAGTTTGTGTTCTCCTATGGCCCTGAGAAGATCCAAGGTATGGCTGTCTCAGTGCCGTGGGGATTTGGAGCTGGGTGCTGTCTCCTTTYCCTCTCCTCAGCTGTGCCCCCTGCCCCCTCCCTTGTGACTTCACCTGTCCCATTGCAGTCCCTTTGTCAGTAGGGAGGGATGAGGCACCCAGGCAGTAAGGCTGATCTAGGAGCACCCATGGATGCCCTGTCTCTCTTCCTCTCTTCCCCGGGAGGCTGCTCTTCAAAGCCCTTGCTGGGCCAGGAGAGGTGGAAAGGAATGTTTGAGAATGAAGGACTCCCTTGCTCAGAAAGTCCAGACCTATGCACACTCACTGTCAGTCTGTGTGGTCTCTAGGCAATCCCAAAAGCCCCAGGCAGTCTTGTACACCTTATTTGTGATGCTCTTCCATCCCTTGATGCTGCCCATCCTACAGGACTCTTCTGCCTTGCCCTATGGCTCCTGCTCTTTTCTCCTTGCATGCACTTTTCCCCACCTACTCCCCTATAGGAGGATGCTGGTTCTGTTGTCATCCCCCCTGACCATCCTGCCTCTTTCCAGGCATGGAGCACCTGGAGAATGGGCCCAGTGTTTCTGTGGACTACAACACATCCGACCCACTCATCCGRTGGGACTCCTACGAGAACTTCAACATCCAGCGCGAGGACAGTGCAGAGGGGGCCTGGGCTGAGCCGCCCCTGCCCAGCAAGCACCTGGAGAAAGGTTAGGGCTCACAAGGTGGTCAAAGTGTCCACATGGAAATACCCCCCATCCCAGCAAAGGGGACACCGGTGGGCAGCAGAGCTGTGGACAAGTGGCTGCTGGTGGGAGGAGTGTGGCCATGGGTTGGGAGAGGAAGATCTCGTGGACTTTGCCTTCTGCTACGGTGCCAGGGAGCTCAGGCTCTTCCTTTCAGCACTTTGCTGTCAAAGTCCTGTTTGCACAAGCAGAGTCCAGCCCTAGTTTATGCCCCAGAGCTTCAGAAAATCAAAACCYCGCGTCTGCCCCAAATATCCCAGCTACTTCCTCACGCTGCAGGCATGGCAGGGCGTAGCTGTGCCCTAGTTATCCCTGGGGGATGATGGCTTACTGGCCTTGAAGGGTCTGCTCCATCTCTCAGAATTGGGAAAAGCCCCTTGAGCACCGATTTTGTTGCAKCAAGTTGACTGCTGTCACCCACTTGGCAGGAATGGGCAGGATTTGTATGTYGAAGGGTGGTGGGCTGCTACCCGTGGCCGAGCAGATGCCTGGGCTTTCCGGGCCAGATCTGGAGAGGTGTCCCTGGAGCAGGGACAGCTGCGGTCCCTGAAGTCTCTGAAGGTCACCGGCTGCTTCGAGTGGGAGCTKTGCACAGCCATGCTGGCAGTGCATGGAGGGTGGGGGCTCTGGGTGCCTGGGGCAGGCGAGACTGTCTCTGCTGGGGTGGTCAGGTGGAACCAGACCTGGGGCCGCAGTGTGGAGCTGGCATGGGCACTTGCCTTGGCAGAGGGCAGTAAACAGGCAACTCGTGACGGGCAGGCTCAGCTATGTGGTAGGAGCTGGGGAGCTGTGGGTCCAGCCTCAAGCTGGCACCCTCCTGCCTGCAGAGATCTGAGTGCCTCATTGCATGCATTCCCCTTTGGACCCTGGGTCAGAGCTTCTGCATTCCCAGCCCCTCACAGGGCTGCAGGGGTAGCCCAGGACTGCTCTCTGTCCTCTCATGGGGGTCATGGTGARTACTGAGGCTGCAGAGGTACCCCAAAGCCCAAAGGCTCGTCTTMATTACCCCTTGGGGGTCTTAGCAGGTGTCAGGGCTGTGGAGTACCTCCATGGGCTGACTGGGTACCTCTGTGCTGGGAGGGTGGCAGTAGGGAATGAATTTGTAAACAGTGCCCCAGTTTGGAGATGAGCTGGGACTGGGGAAGGGTGAAGCTGCAGTCAGGATGCTGCCCTCTGATCCRTGCCAGCACAAGCAGCTGCAAGGAGCCTTTCTGTAGGGGCTCTTTCCCCAGCTGCCCCATTGGACCGCTTTGAGCAGTGGTGGTGAGAGTCAGCATGGGCTCAAGGGGCTCCCATCTTCCTCCCTCTCTGTTGTCACTTTTCTTCTTTTCTAGCCTGTCCCAAGCCAGGATGGGGACCCTGGTGTCCGGCTGTGCTGGGGGGGTCCCTGTTTATGGTCGTTCTTGCCTTATTTGGTCAGGGAATTGCACGCCACATTTTTGGCACCACCAGGCGTGAGCAAGCGGCGTCCGGGGGCGGAGGGGGGTGAGGTTGGCACCGGGACCCACGCCGGGCTGGGATCAGCCGCAGCTCCTTGTCCCTGCCACTGCCYGTCCTGCCACTCGGCGAGGGCTCCCCACAGACCGTCGCTGCAGCCCGGGCCAACGGGATCGGGATCGCCTGCCAAACGGTGGGTTCCCCCATGCCGCGTCTCTGCTGGCCACAGCCGCTCTCAGTGGAGCTGTATGCCCTTTCTCCAGCAGCTTTGTGTCAGCATGGGACACCCATAAGGGCTGGGGGGTGCCTGTCAGGGTGGGATGGTCCTGCGAGACCCCGAAGCTGGAGGGGCAGGCGGGTGGCTGGGGATGGTGCCTGTCCTGGTGTTCCCCTTGCCTCTGCTGTGTTTATCTGTGGGGATTTGGGGAAGGGGAAGCCCAGTTGCAGCCGGGTCATCTGTTGACTACACTTGTCCAGAGCAGGGGGCATGGGAGGGGGATCTGAACCCCCACATCTTGCTCTGTGGCTGAGGGGACACGGCTGGATTCACTAGGCTCTCTGTGAGCCACTTCYGTGGGACAGACTGTCCCCATCAGTGAACTCTCCCTCCTGTTTTTCTCAGGCAGGGTCTCTGCTGCCCACCGTGTTTGGGCTGCCCTGTGGTCCTTAGGGAGAGTGGGGCACACTGGGATACCCCCACAGCCTATTTCTCTGCCCTTCATCCATGTCCACACAGCATGGGGAAGGCAAGTGACTGCCTCCCTTCCTTCCTCCTCCTCAAAGGGGCTTTGGGTGGTGGCTGCATGGCCGGTTCCTGCTGCAGTGCCTATGGCCATTGGTTGGCTGAGGATGTCTGAAGGCTGAAGGGAGGTGATGGCCTGCTTCTTCCTCTGGCTGTTTTTTTGTGCCTGAGGTTGCCAGCATTATGGTAGCTCTCCTTGGGGTGCCAAGCTAGCTCCAGGGAGGCAGCTGGATATGGCATTGCTGGATTTGCAACTGGTTGGAGGATTGCTGCAGAGCAATTTCTGGGGTACTGCAGATGCTGGTGGGTAACTTAAGGATGGAGATAATTAATGGTGTGGTTTTACAGAGAAAACCAATGTTGATGGAGAACAGGGTTCTGGGGCTGGCATAGAGTCAGTGGACGGTTTGTCCCCAAGGTCTGGATGTGTGACAGTTGTGGGGGCACCCCAAGCTCTCCCATTCCAGGGTGGTGTGAGAAAATGTCAAAGGGCTGGGCATGTGTCCYCAACCCAGCAGCTCCCTGTAACCGCTGGCCCTTAGACCCACTGTGGGCTGGCCCTGCCTGTGCTGTCCCTTTACCAGGCCTGGAAGAGAGTGGCCAGGGTCTGGCCAAATCCAACATCTGCGAGAGAATTGCTAAATCCCCACCTGAGTCATGGTTCTGGCATAGGGCTCGCCTGCAGCTCATCCTCACTCGCAGGGCAGGGCTGGCTGGGGTGGGGACTGGGATGAGCATCCCAGCCTTCCAGTGAGGGGAGGTCACAGCAGAGCCTGAACTGCATGTGGCAAAGGTCAGGGGGTCCCGCAGCCCCACAAATGGAGCTGGATGCTGATCCTGCACTTTTCCATGGAGGGGAAAGCCCCTCGATGGGGTCGCTGTTCTGTTTGCCCCCCAGAAAGGTCAGCGTCTCATGGGGTACACTTTTCCCAGTGGGGTCAAATCCTGTGGCAGTGACTGTGGCGGCTCAGGAGGGCAGGCCAGGCTGTGCAGAGGTGGAGAGCCAGATGGGCCAGGCCAGCACTGTTAAAGCCATTGCTGGAGCTGCTGGTGGCTGGACCGGTCCCTAGGCCAGGCTTGGTGGGGAGGGGGCCACTCTGGCTCTCTTCTTGCCTTCACTAGCTAATTAAAGCTGAAAGAATCCACTTCTCCCTTCTTATTCTGCCCCTCTCCGCTGCTCTCTGCTCCAAGGTAAGGGTGTGTTGGGGTGGGCAGTGGGGATCTGCGTGGGCTGGACGGGAATTCACACGGAACATCCCCCTTGCTTCTGGTTATTCCCCATGGGTGAAATGCTGGAGCATCTATGGGCTTGGCTAGACATTCCAGCTGGAGTGTGGCTATTTCCATTGTCCTCTGACCTGGTATTTGGGGTTGTCATGTAGGGTGGTGGTAGGGTTTGTTCCCACTGGGACAGGGAACTGGGCAGGGCTGGGATGCTGGGAGAGAGAGATCAGCTGGTGGAAGCTCACTCCCTTCTTTTCCTTCTTTAAACTATCCTTAAAGTTAAAACTTGTAGCAGTTCATGTGCTTGGGGCTGGGGATGTCCCCCAGCAGGAGTGGGGAGCTTTGTCTCTGCTGTCCTGCAACTGACACAGGCAGGACAAAAAAATAAGGCCGAGAATCAAGTGAACTTCAGAGGTTTTGGAAGGACGCTGGCTTGGCATGTGGTATTATCTGAGAGCAAACAGGGCTGTGAGTCAGGGGGCCGGCTGGAAACACTGCTCTCATCCCCTGCCGTCATCCATGGGGGTGTGGGAAATGCACGGTTTGGGGGATTAGAGTGGAGGGAGCCTCATGTTCTGCTGAGTATGTTGGATGAATCGAGGGTTCAGGCAGGGGCCTGGATGTGGGGTGGGCTTKCTGTCACCTGGACCACCAAATTGTCAGCACCATCCCAGCATGGATTTTGCTTGGGGGGGAGCAATTTGGTCTCAGACAGCTCTGGGGTGGATGGGATCAGGCCATACCTCCTGTCACGGAGCAGGGCAGTGTGTGCATCCTTAAAACAGCGCTGGCATGTCCATRCTGTGCCTGTGGTGCTGGCAGGGCAGGCAGGGGGTTGTGAAAATGGATCGGCRGGGTCCGTGGCTTGTCCGTGGCTGGTTTCCACCCCTCTTTGGCTGTGTAGTTATTTCAGATGGAGAAGCTCAAGTCTCCAGCACGTCATTTGAATTTGCAGACTCGTCTGGGTTTCAGGATCATGTGTGGCATGGAACAACATCCCCAATTTGAATCGCTGCTCTTTGGGGACAAGTGTAACGCATGCACGCAGGAGCTGGCCAGGGCTGGGTGTCTCAAATGGGGTCACCCAGCAGGGCCACAGTGTGAGGTGGGCAGGCTGTCCAGCTGTCCGGCTGTCTGTCCTGCCTAGGAAACAGTTAACGCGGCGGAGCCCTGCCTGTGGAGGAAGTAGTTAATATTCATAGCTGGAAGTTGTCTGTCTGGCTGTCCTCCCTCCATGGCTCCCACCCTCTCCGCACCTCTCCGAGGTTAACTCGGGCTGGGGCTGGAGTTTGGGCGTCCCCGCCGCCCTCCCCGCGCCGCTCCCCTTCCCTTCCCGCTCCTCCCTGCGGTCCCTGTGTGGTCTGGGGCGGAGGGGAGCACAGCCGCACCTCCTCGCTCCATCCCATCTCCAGCCTCTGCCACCTTCGGCTCCTCCATCCTCCCCTGCAGCTTCCCGTGTCCTGGGGATCCCCGTATCCCGGGGTTCCCCGTATCTCACCCCTTCCGGCGCCCCGCTGCCGTCCCGGTGCCCCTCTCGCGGCCCCGCGGGACGCGGCTGGGAAGGGAATAGCTCACGCGGCGAGAGGGAAGGCAAAGCCAAAGGGACAAACGCCAACCCGAGCCAGCTCCAGGCCGTCGGCTCCTGTCCTGGACGGACACACGGAGCTGGCTGCGGACGCCGTTCGAGCTGCCGCCACACCAGGTGTCCCTGGAAGGCTCTGGTGCTGGAAGGGGTGAAGGAAAGGGATTTTGCTGCCTGCTCCTTACCTTCGCCTGGGATCTTTTCATCCCGGTGCCTTTTGGTAAGTTCTGACTTTGCTATTCTTTGGGCTGGGGGCTGGGTGGTGAATTCTTGGCTGTGGTGAGCCACGGCTCACGGGCTGGGGTTGCTCTGTGCCACCAGATCTGGTTACTGGATGAGAACAGAGATGARGAGGCTAAACTCTACGCTGTGAGATTCAGCTCACACCCTACATCCTGCAGAGGGTCCCGGGACCCCAGGGTCTTCTCTGCAGGGTGGTGCTCCAGAGATGCCCTGGGGCCGTGGCTCTGGGTGGTGGGGAGTGGAGGCAGCAGGTGGGATGCTGCTGGGGGCGGGTCAGGGGGAGACGGAGACATGGTGATGCCTCAACCTGATTTTCTGCACTGGGGCAGAATCCTAGACAGGATTTGTGCTGGTGCATGATGCTGTGTGCTGCACCCCACTGTGTGTGAGGCAGATGCCTGGGATTTTGGGGATGCGAGCTACCCCTCTTGGTGCTGTTGCACTTGTCCTGGACCAGTTTTTTACTGGGTGTAGCCACAGGGTGCTGTGGAGAGGACAGAGCATTTTCCCTCTGGGGCAGCAAGCCTGGCAGCAGGGCTGGGACCAGGCTGGGATCAGCGCTTCCCGCAGCTGCCTCCACACAGCCGGAGCAGATAGAGCCAGAGCAGAGCTGTGTCCGGGGCTGAGCCCACGGCAAACCCAGCCCACGATGGAATGGCACAGCCTGCCAGGCTGGAGCTGCTCCGACCTTCAGGGATGAAATCTGACCTTGCTGGGAGCTGCAGACACTTTGCAAACGAGGTCCTGAGAGCCTGTTGCTTTGAGAGTGGCTGGTTTGGCTGAGGCATTCTGTTGTGTTATCCCTTAGTATTTTATTTTATTTTAGTTTAGTTTAGTTTAGTTTTGTTTGTTTTATTTTAAACTGTACAGGTGATGAGTAATAGATAGTCGTATGAGCAGTAGTGTGGCCCAGGGGTAGTGGAGGCTTCGGATTGGCTGTGAGTAGCAGGATTTGTCCCCTGGCATCAGAGCCCAGGAGGTACTAGGTTTGAGGACAGGATGAGCAATCAGGTGTGGGGCAGAGCAGCTGTAGGACAAGGGATTGGCTCATGGCTGAGCTGTCACAGGCTGTTCCTTGCTTACTACCCTGGTACTGTGCTTGGGGGAAGGCCACCAGGCCCCCTATRTCCCCTCCTGTGTACAGAGGGTCTGGGGAAGGTGGGACGTAGCATTCAGGGCTTTCTGGCTCTGCTGTGGACTGCATTGTGCCCCAYCCTCACCTCTCTTGGAGACATTTCTCCCAGCTGTGGGGCAATACTCAGCCCAGAGAGGAATTAAAGCCTTTTCCGAATATTTTCTCCCTTGGCTTCACGTGCTTACATTTATATTTATTTATTCCCTTTTCCTYTCTATTCCTCTGCCCTTTTTATCCCAGCCCCCATTCTGGCTTTTGCCCTGTTTCTTGAGACCAGCCAGCACCCATTGCTGCCATCAGACAGGAGGACTGTGCCTTTCCCCCCGTCTCCAAGCAATGTCTCAGCCTGTCCAGCATTGACACTGCCCCTGGATATGCTGTTTATTTCTTTCTGCCTCCATGGAAAAGGGTTTCCCTCCCTCTCTTTCCCTTTTCCCCACTATGGGAGGTGTTGTGGAGTCAAATGCTACTGGCTCCTGGCTCTACTGGCTGGATGAAGGAGCTCTGAGTCTCCGGGAGAAATTCTCATCCTTTCCCTTACCGAGTGCCCAGAGAGGACCTTGCTGCGTGGTCCTGTGACATCTTCAAGCTAACARGAGGCTGTGGGGCTCAACTGCCTCCTTGGGATACTGCCAGCGGGGATTCACAAGTGGAAAATCAGCGACATGGAGAGGGCTCTGACTTGGTAGGACTTGGGCTGGGTGTTATTGCCCCCTTTTTGTTATGGGGAGGGGTTGTTGGTGTGGGAGCTGCTGGAGTGCGGGTGCGGCAGCGTGGGACTGGTTAAGCTGTCCCGGCTCGGAAGTGTTTTGCTTGCAGATAGGACCGCTCTGATTTCACACTATCGTGTTAGGGCCGTCTTCCGTCCCTGAGTCAGCCGCCTGGCCCACTGCCAGGGAAGAGTCATTTTTTCCTCCAAAAGAAAGTGTTTAACACTGCTCGCGGGACCTTCCAGGAAACCTCGTCAGGGAGCTGGAAAAACAAGAGTCTGCAGCCTGGTCGGAGCTGCGCTTGCTCTGGCGGGGGGGGTGCAGCTTGGGAACTGTTCCCATTGCTGTCAGTGTCCGAGGTCCCTCTGTATCCCTGAAATCTCTCTGCCCCACTTGGAAAGGTTTGAAGGGTGCAGCTGRTTGTGGTGTTGGTGCTGATGGGAGCTGGGGGGCTCAGAACTGGAGTGCAGGGTTATTGGTGATGATGCTGTCATGCCCTGGCTGCTCCCCAGCCTCTTGTTAGCAGAGCTAACTGCCCACACTGGCCTTGAGTCGTGGTGCCAGGACCTTCCCAGAGAGGAGGTGCTGCCTGTTCAGGGTTGGGCAGAGGCACTGCTGGTGCGGAAGCTCTGGGGCAGATTGACCTGGCCTGAAAGAGGGAAGGGGAAGCACAGAAAGGATGGGAGCCTGTCTGTAACCAGGGAAGGAAAAGTCAAGGATGTCTGGCTGGCTGGATCCATGCATTATCTGGGAAGAGAGTGGGCAGGGAGAGGGACGGTGGGTCTGTGGTTCATCTGTCCTTCAGCCCTACCCGTGGGCTGAGTGCATCCACACAGCTAGAGGCTGGAGCTGGAGACAAAGAACTACGAGGCCATGTCTCAATTGCCTCTGCCCGTCCTCCTACGGCCCATGGTGCATCCCCTCCACCCTCCCTGTTCGCCTCCCTGGTGCCATACGGCCCTTTGGGGCTGGAYGAGCCCTGCGGAGCAGCGATGGCTGACTGAGGGGATAGCCCCAGCCCTTGCCAGCCATGGAGAATTGCCAGGGATGATGCSTGGAAGTAGGGCACGGGATATTTGGTGAATGCCCGTGGAGCAGGCAGTGCTTGCGTGTGAGTCAGGGCTGTGGGGGCATGGGGATGGGGAGGATCTGGCTCCGATGTCTCTGCGTGGTGGCGCCGGTGGGAGTGTGGAGGGTGCCGAGGAGACATCGATGCTGGTTGTTAAGTGTTCTGGCACACGGAAGAAATCGAAATCACCGGCTAATGGGACCCATTAGCTCCGTGCAGACAGCCAGCAATTGATCTGGGGTCTCGTGTTCATTTCTCCCCTTGCAGAGGTTGGGCACACGCAAGGGCCCCTGGATGGGAGCCTCTACGCTAAAGTGAAGAAGAAAGACTCCCTCCACGGCAGCACCGGTGCCGTCAACGCTGCCCGACTCCCGCTCTCGGCAGCACCCAACCACGTCGAGCACACACTCTCAGTGAGCAGCGACTCGGGCAACTCCACCGCCTCCACCAAGACCGACCGGACCGATGAGCCGGGGGTGACYGGGGCACCCAGTGGCCAGGCGGTGCTGAGCCCCGAGGAGAAGCAGGAGCTGGATCGTCTCCTTGTKGGCTTTGGCTTGGAGAGCGCGCCGCCCATGCACAACCACGTGCCCGGCCCCGTGCCGGCACGCCTGCCCGCCATGCCGGGCCGCCACGTGGTGCCGGCTCAGGTGCACGTCAACGGGAACGCCGCGGCGCTGGTGGCCGAGCGGGAGACGGATATCTTGGATGATGAGCTGCCCAACCAGGACGGGCACAGCGTGGGCAGCCTGGGCACGCTCTCCTCCTTGGATGGCACCACCACTGCCAGTGAGGCCGGCTACCAGGAGGCGCCCCGGGTGGGCAGCCTGTCCTCCCTGCCCAACGGCCCCTCGAGCTGCAATGGGGCTGAGAAGCTGCTGAAGGAGGGGCTGTACGACAGTGAGCCGCTCTCCAATGGTGGCTACCTCTACAACAACCAGAACACCCTGATGGGTCACCACCTCCGTGACACKCTGCCTTCCTTGCGGCCCTCGGCATCCACTCAGGAGCACCTGGGTGGCTACCCACAGCGCCTGCCGGGCTCCCACACCCCGGGGTGGCTCCAGCCTCAGCCGCTGCCCACCTCCCAGCCCTACCTGTATGCCTACGACCACCCTGGAACCTACCGCTCCCGGTCCTTCCCGGCAGTGGACACTGCCAAGTACGACGTGAACCCGGCGTTGCCCCAGGCCCCGGCTCGCAGCACCAGCAGCCGGGAGGCTGTGCAGAGGGGCTTGAATTCCTGGCAACAGCAAGGAGGAAGCCGGCCACCTTCCCGGCTGCAGGAGGGCGGCATGGAGAGCCACAGCCCCAGCATCTCCAGCTGCAGCCCCCAGCCCAGCCCACTGCAGACGGTGCCCCCGCACAGCCATAGCATGCCCGAATTCCCGCGGGCGCCCTCTCGCCGGGAGATTGAGCAGTCCATCGAAGCGCTGGATGTCCTCATGCTGGACCTCGCACCCGCTGTCCATAAGTCGCAGAGTGTGCCTTCCACCTCCCGWCAGGACAAGCCAGCTGGACCCCTGCCCTCCTCCCTTTCGACCCAGCCCATTGCTGGTCTCTACGCCCGGCCAACTCCGCAGGTGGCCCAGCCGAGGTCCTTCGGCACATCCGCGAGCCCCGTGGTCTCTGAGCCCGGGGGCAAAGCCTTTTCTCCCGGAGAGCTGGACTATGGGGTGCATGAGTATCGGGAAACCTATTCGCCCTACAGCTACCCGCTGGCACCGCTGTCAGAGCCCAGGAGCTACAGCCATGCCCCAGCCGGAGCACAGATGGGCACTGTCCCGCTCGGCACCTCGTGCTACAGCCCTGTGGGGTCTCAGCAGCAACTCACCTCCTCCCCACCTTCCCCCACCGTCCCAGCACAAACCCAGATGCCCCACAAGGGACCGGAGAGCTATGAAGACCTGTCGAGGTCGGCAGAAGAGCCCTTGAATCTGGAGGGCCTGGTGGCCCACAGGGTGGCAGGTAGGATTCTTTGATTCCTTGGGTGCATGGGGAGGATGGCATGTCCCGAGGTGCCGGAGCACCCGGGGGTGGTGTGCATGGTGGAGCTGGGGATGAGTGATGCGGAGACTCCTTGTCTGTGCCAGATCTGGGCTTGGGACTGAGCCACCTGCCCCAGAGATATGCAGGGCAGGGGAGCAGCCTGTACTGCTCTGCTTTGCTGAGATCCTCCTGTGCAGCTTGCTGTCTGCAGCACCATTGCCCAGAGGTGGGAAGGGGTGGCTGAGGGTGTCAGATCCCCTCCATCCTCACCTCTTTAGTGTAACAGGGCTGGTCCACCCCTGGTGGCAGGGCCAGTCACTGCGTCTCAGRGGTATTTCTTTCTTTTGGGAAGGATACGGAGAGTTTGGGAATATGTTTTCATCTCTGGCTGATGTTGTCCTGCCTGGACCCACTTGGACATGGTGCTCTCCCTGCCCAGAGCACGGTCTTGTGTAAGGTCCCAGTAGAGAACTTGCCGTGTGTTTGGTGTAGCTACGCTCATCCCTGATTTCAGTGAGTGCTGGGTTCTGTGCTCAGATCTCCTCCCAGGGCAGCTGGRGTCTGCAGCAGTGGGGTCTGGGCTGTTGTCTGTCAGCTGTAACTCTGCCCAGCTTGGCCCAGGGTGCTTTGAATCTGGACCTAGCCATGGGGCAGTGGTCAGGGGGTTTGGTGCTTGGCYGGGTGCAGTGCTGAGCGTCAGTGCTGTGGCTGTATGAATGCATTAACTCCGTGCGATGGAGGGAAAGCTGCATCCACCGATCCCCTGCCCTCCTGCAGCTCCAGCTCTGGGGATTTGGGACAAAAGACTGTCCCAGCCACTGTGGGAAGAAGGTRCCACAGCGCTGTGGCGGCTTGGTGCCCTCCCTCCCCACTGCTTCAGCTGCAGTTGTTCCATCGCGGAGCGACATTTGGGAAGGATTTGGGGATGTGGGCCAGCTCGTGATGCTGGGGCTTGGCAGCTCCATCCCTTCCAACTCTGTGCTCAGTCCAGAAACTCGCCCGGCATTAGAGGGAGGGGGAAAAGGCTTGGTTGGAAAAATCCGACAGCATCAACCTCCCAGGAGTAGGTACTGAGTCACAGGGTGGGAGGCAGGAGGGGTACCAGTGGCAGGAATGGGAATGAAGAGGGTCGTAGAGGTGTTGGAGGAAGTTTGTATCCATCTGAACCTGGCCTCAGAGATCCAGATCAGATTCACCAARGGTCATGAGGCTTTTGCAAAGAATTTAAACAAACCTAAGGACACATGGATGCCCAAACCGCGCTGAAGGTCTGGATTTAATATTATAAACAGCACATGCCTGCCCTCCCCTGCTGCCTCATATGGAGTACAAAAATGGCCTGGAAAAGAAGACAGTTCTAAGGAGAGGAGGAAGAGTATTTGCAGAGTGTGGGAAATGGAATTTTGATGGTGCCTACCAGAAAAATCCATCCCCCCAACCCTGGGGTCAGGTCCTCAGGACTGGGCTGGGGTCATTGTCACCCCCCTGCAGCCACTGGGCTTCCCAGAGAGGAGAGAGGCATCTGGGGGATGGTCCCTAGCCTGTGGCCACCTGTCTCTGCTGGAGCTGGGCCGTCTGTGCTGAGGCGGGGGCAGCTCAGGCAGGTGGCCTGACCTCTGGCGGGAACGAGGTGTCCTGAAGCCAGCRTTGGGAGGGGACAGCCAGCGGGGACAGTGGGGCATGGACATGTTTGTTTACATTCCCTGCTGCTATAAATTGCCTGCATATCCTGGCACAGAGACGAGGAGCATCTCGCACYTCCTCCATTCTTGGTGGGGATATGCTCCCATTCCTTCTTCCCGCTGATGATGGAGGGGAAGAGATGACACAGGGCAGTGCTGGCACCTCCCCACAGAGAGGAGGTGGTCCTGTCATCCTCTAAGTCTCTCTCATCTCCTAGCAAGGCATCTGGGGTCATCCCTTCTTGTCCCAGCCCTGGGCACCTGCATGGTGCCATCCTTGAGGGGATGGTGATGGGGCATCTGTGGTGTTTCACAAAGCTAAATATGGCTGGGAGACACCAGTGATTTCCCATGTGGGTTCATGTGGTGCCTGGAGCCAGGCAAGCTGGCTGTTGGAAAAGCAGTGCCAAGCAGAGACTGAGCTCCCTCAGACCCTAGATGACCCCAGACTCATCTGTTGGAGCCCAGCTAATATTTTCTCTTTTCTCTCTCTCTCTCTCTCTGTTCCCWTGTTGTATCTCGTGACATTTGTCCTGTCTGCCCCTTCCTCCCTGTGGGGGACTGTGTCTGTCCTCTGTGACCTCCYACCCTCCTTGCACTCCCTGTCCTGGTATGCTGGCAGAGTACAACGCCAAGCTCAGGGAACTCAACAAGAGCACCAAAGTTCCCCGTCCTCCTCTGAACCAGCAACGGTCCTTCTCCGGTTCGTTCATTCCACCTCCTTCCTTTCCYTTCCTTCCTCGTTCTCCAACCTTCCCCATCCATCCTTCTCCTTCCACTCTCCTGCATTCTCCCTTCATCCTTCCTTCCTTTTCCCATCTTCTCTCTCTCCTTCCCCCTCATCCCTTCTTCCCTCTCATCCTTCCTCCTCTATCACTGCATGCTGAGTGATCTGTGTGCTGCATGGGTGTGGAATGRAGGGAGGCTCAGGAGACCATCTCCATGCAGGATTGATCCCTTTTCTCAGCAGAATGATGGTCAGGAGCTCATTGAGCTCCTTCAGTGGTGGGGGAGCCCCAGCCCTGGGTACAGACTCCCCTGCCCATGCTTGGTTTTGCATCTCATCTAAGCCTGGCACTGCTTTCTGGTGGGGCTTTCACTGCTGGGCCAGTTCTGGGCTCTTGCTGCATCCCCTCCAAGCTTTGCCCTGACCATGGCTCTCCCCTCTCTCTCAGAGCAGCTCCACAGAACACAGATTTAGCCAGTTGTCACCCCAGCAGGGTCTTTCCTACATCGGTTTAGGGATCTGCATGGTTGGTCTGCAGCTGAGGGATGTGGGCTGCTGAGGCTGGATTTTAGGCGGTGTGATTTTGTTCCTTGAAGGTGATTCGGCCCTGGGTGATGTGTGCTGGTGACCTGCTTGATGCTTGCTGTGCACCCACTTGTCCTAGGGCAAGCAGAAGGTGTCAGATGGAGTGRGGCTGGGGAGTCACCAGCCTTTTGTGTGATCTTTCTCTCCCCACTGACACCTTGGGTTTCTCCCCAGGAGGACCAAAGAGGTTTGAGCCGTCCCTTTCCTCAGCACAGAGTGAGGTATTTTATGGTGCCCATTTGGGGTGATCAGGTGGGAGGTGGGGAGCAGTCTGTGCCGGGATGGGACGGGATGAGCTGAGCTCTGGTGAGGAGCAGCACAGGGCGATGTCTGTTCCTYGTGCAGGCAGGGAGTGAGTTTGAATCTCTTTTCCCTGGGTATTGCGTGTCCCCRTTGGCTTCAACTGCTGAGGGTACATCCCAAGGGCCTTGGGACGCTTCTTTGTTCTCTCTGGTCCATTGTAGGAGTATCACCTGGCTCTTGCTTGGCAGTAATTCTAGCATCTCATGGCCTTAAAGCGGCTGCCTCCTGATGTGACCTAAAAACCTGTCTCTCCACTCCTCCCTGGGTTTGCCATCCCTCCTATTTTCTCCTTCCCCAGCTGTTGTGCTCCCTGCTCTTCCCCGTCCCTAGAGCTGTGCTGAGTGTGAGGGCAGTGGGTTGGTGCTAGGTTAGGTATGTAAAGGAGCAGCAGGAGGAGAGACACTGCCAAAGGTGTTGGGTGTGAGGGTGAGRAGTGGGGTGTAGGCTGCTGCTCCCCCCTTGTGAACAGGAATCTGCCATCCTGCAGCTGACCAGGGCGTCCTTGGGTGTGCAGTGACAGTGGCTAAGGGAGGCTGTGTGTCTGCTGAGGGGGCAAAGCAAGCTAGGGAAAGGAGAGTTTGTTTTTCAAGCATAGTTTCCATCCCATAAATCACCCAGGGGGTCGGGGGAGCCATGCTCAGAGCCTGGGTTTCCTCCAGGCTTTGCTCCGGGCGGCCTGTGAAGTTTCCCACTCTCCGCTCCTGAACAATGAGTCCCTTTTTTCCCTTCTCCTCCCTCCCCTCCCTGTGGCCCCGGCCGCTTTCCATGTCTGGGGAGTGGAGCAGCCAGAGCTTGCTGAGCTCCTGGGTGTCCCAAAGGGCCCTGTGATTAGGGGACATGAAGCCCTGGGGATGGAGCTGGGGGTCCACACTGCATGTGTGTGATGTGCACCGATAGCCAGGCTCTGTCGATCTGCCGTGGTTAGTGCTTCCCAAGTGGAAAATGCAAAGCAAGGCGGGCGTGCACAGYTTCAGGATCCAGTCCCTGCCTCTCTGAAATGCTCGGGCCCCACAGCTCACATTGGAGTGKCCTGAGGGACGCTCCTGGTGATGCTCGTGCAGTGTTTGGGAGAGTCATAGTGCACAAAGTGGAAGGAAAAAAGAAAATATTAGAGTTTTGCTTTATTTTTTCCTAATATCCTGTTTCTCCCTGTGGGCTTCAGTCCCTTAAAGTGAAGAGCAGGACAAAAGATACAGGGTGGCCCTATACAGTGCTGCCCACGCCTGCAAGGCAGCTTCCCAGGGGCCCTCTGTGTCCCGCTGTTCTCGCCGCGGGTCTTTGTAATGGCCGTCCCCCGTGCCGGTGAGCACCTGCAGAAGGGATCGGGAGTTGTGTTTCAAAGCTGCTCTTAGTGGAATTTTCCAGGACGCCTCCGCGGCTGGAGCCAGCCCCGTTGGCTCGCGTCCCCCGCCTCGCAGCCTGGCCGCCTCTCCCCCCGAACCGCGATTTTATTGTTGTTGCCATTCACTGGGCTGATTATTTAGAAATGCGCCCAGGCCACCTCCTTCCCTCCCGCGCTCCCAGCCCTTTCCCCTCTCCCAGCCCTTTCCCCAGGCCAGGAGAGCTCTGGTGCATGTGCCGAGCAGTGAAGAGGGGAGGTCAGCGGGCGTGAGGTGTGGGTCCCTTGCGGAGCCCCGGGGAGTGAGGGGAAGCAGCTGATGGCTGGTTTTCCTCCGCCAGCCCGTGGGAAAGGAGTTGGTGTTTGAAAAGTGCATTTCCTGGAGCGTGGTGCTGGCCTTTCTCCTTTTTTTTTCCTCCTTCTTTTTGTCTTTTTTTCTTCCTTAATGTGCTGACCAAGGGGAACACGAGTGCTCACCGATTCTGTGGGAAAGGTGGAGGGGACAGTGTTGTCACCTCTGCTWATGGGTGAGAGTGTGAGTCCCATGGGGCTCTGAGCTGTGCCTGTGATTTTCTGTGGGGTTGCCGTGCACTGAACCCAGTACCATCATCCATAAGCCTGGATTAACCTCTYCATCGGGCAAGATGGGATAGAGGGTGTGTTTGGGCACTGTCAGGTGCTGGCAGAGTTGAGCTCCCCTGCCCTGTGCCAACCTTGTCTGTGCTCCTGGGCTTTATCCCAGCCAGTGGGGATCTCCACAGCTCAAGAGACCCATTCTCCTATGATGACTTGCTCACTCTGTTCTTCCCCTCAGGCTGTAGAAATTGGTGGTTCAAACTTCTGGGACTTGGGAAGGAGGTCTGGGGAGAGATGGAGGGGAGGTGCTCCTTTTAGATCTCTCCTTTTAGAAAGGCTTTGCACTGGGGACAGATCAGCAGTGGTTTTTTAGGGTTCTCTGCACCATTCCTCTGTGGCATTCTTTCTTCTTGATCCAGTGTTTCCTCTGCCTTGGGGACTCAACTCACAAAACCAGGCTTTTTCCACTGCTGTGGTTGAAGCCACATCTGGTTGTGGGAGCAGGGATGCAGCTGTCCTGGTGCCGGGTGATGGGGTCCTTTCTCTCTGTGATGCTGTTGCGAGGCCCTGCTGCTTCCCTGCTCTGCAGGGCTGGGCTKTTTGGGCTAATCTCGGGATGCTCTTGCCCCTTGGACCTGCTGCTGGAGGTTGTCCCTGAGAGTTTTAACAGTGCTTGGGAAAGCTGGTGCAACAATTCARCCACTGGCCACAACCCTGCCTTGCTTTGTCACCTGGTTTGGGGTCACAGCTGTAGGGTACATCTGCTCCAGCGGCCCATGTTGATCTGGGGGTTTGATGCAGATGAGTGCTGAAGCTGAGACTTCTCAGGWCAGGCCTGGAGCATCTCCTGCTGGTCTCCATCTCAGCCAGCAGCTCCTCACTCCTCTGCCACCCTGTGCTTGCCCTGCAGGGGTGCCATCCCGGGAGAAGCCTGTGGAGGAGAGCGTTGTCCCCGCTCGCAAGCGGACCCCCAGCGACAGCCACTATGAGAAGAGCTCGCCAGAGCCCGGCTCACCCCGCAGCCCCACCGTCCTCTCGCCTGAGGTGGTCAGCACCATCGCAGCCAACCCTGGAGGGAGGCCCAAGGAGGTGTGCTGGAGTAGAGGAGTGCTGGGGTTGGGGGGTGGCTGACTGGGGACAAATGCCTCCAGGGAGGGGGATGGCTTGGTCAGCATTCACAGCATCCATGGGGTTGGGGATCAATGATGTGTTTTGTGGTGGTGGTGGTTAGCAGGGAGAGGTGAAACTCTTCCCTTTGCCCCCTCTGCCCTCTCCTCGGGGTGTTCTAGTGGTTTGTGCCCATCATAGGGATGGGACTGACCCTTTCTCCTGCTCTCCCCAGCCTCACCTCCACAGCTACAAGGAAGCCTTTGAGGAGATGGAGGGTRCCTCCCCCACCAGCCCACCCTCCAGCGGCGGTGAGATTTCTCCCCCCACCCCAGCCTTCCCTGTGTCACCACAAACCCCTTACTCCAACACCTGTAAGTGCCATGGCTCTGGGAGGCAGAGGGGCTCGGTGGGTGGCTCTGGGCAAGCCAGAAATTTGCCAAGGGGTCAGACAGCTCCAGGTTCCAGACATCCACCACCATGTTAATCACTTCTCCTCTCCATCCTCCTTGCTCCTCCACATCTTCCACTCCATGTTGTCAGCATCCCACTGGCATCAGCATCCCATGCTTGGCATCATCCTCTTGGCTTTTTCCCACCCTCCACTCACTGGGGTGTTTTTTGGATGGGATCCCAAGATGGGATGAGGAGAGAGGCATGCTTTCAACCCATCCTGGCCTTGCATCTCCCCATCTTTCCTGTCAGCATGGTATGAAGAGAAGCACGAGTGCGGTGGCAGGCGAATGGGAGGCGGGAGGGCCTGAAGATCAGGAAGGCAGACTGACACGCCATGYCACTTCTTGCTTGCAATTTCAGAGGCAGGAGGGGAAAAAGGCTGGGATGCATGCCCTTTGCATGCAGCTTGTCTCCGCTCCTTTGGCGCGGCGTCYCTGTTCTGACTAACCCCGACTCAGTCGTGGTGGGTTTGTGTGGACTGGGTTTGTGTGACCAGCTTGAGCGACGAACCCTGAGGAGCAGCGATGTGTTGGCACAGCACAACTTGGGCCAGAGCAGTGCAGTGCAGCAGCCAGTCAACTRGGAAACCCATTAAAGAGATGGCAGCCCCCCCAACACCTCTAAACCGCTTTTGTAGGCGAAGGCTGAGTGATGCTCTAGGGTTGGGGATGCTGAGTGCAGCCCCTTCTGATGCCATATCTGGGTTGCAGTGAAGCCGCCTGCCCCTCATGGCTCAGCCCCTGGGGCTTGGGGTGTGTTGTTGCTCTTCCTCCACTGCAATCCTGTGATGTTTGAGCCCCGTCTCATGGGATGCAGAGATTGGAGTGTGGGAGCGTTGCCGAGGCTCTTGGCAGCTCGGAAATGGCCCTGTTGTTCCGGGGGACTGAAAGCTCRGCCCTGGGGCAGCGGCAGCAGCTCCTTTGGCAGTGGGTCAGTGGCTTTGGGGGATGAGTCACTTGCAGAGGTGACGGGAACAGCTTGGCTGGGGTCGTGGCCCCGAGGCAGTGCTGCTTATCCAGCGCCAGCCAGGGAAGCCTGGGAAGCTTGAAGTTGCAGCTTTCAGGCTTTGCCAAAATGGCCCTGGGGGATACAGGAGCAGTTCGTTCCCCAYCTCTATTGGGGGATGGTGGTCCTGGGAGGATTCCTGGCCCTGCTCATCAGCCAACTGAGGTGGAAGCTGACATTGTGTTTTGGGCTCAGCTGGATTTGAGGAAATTAGACACCCAGTGGGGAAGGTGCTGCCACCTTAGTTTCCCAGAGACTTGGCTGCTCTGCTGCTCCAGCCCCAGGCTGCTGGATGGACCTGGCCTCAGGGTGAGGGTCTGGCTTTCCTCTGGAGCTCCCACTGCCCACCACCTCCCAGCCCTGCCACAGGCCCTGTGCCTGTGCCACCAGTCAGGGACATTCAAACACTGATGGAGGCTCGTGCCCTTTGGTCCCTCTTGCAGAGGATGATGCCCTGCTGTTTCCTCTACATCATCAGGGAGATGGGGGCAAACCCAGTGGGTAGGAGGGGAGAGGAGGTGCAGTCTGCTTGGGGCGGTGTGCCCCGCCCTGTGAAACCCCTCAGCCGTCCATACCATAGCCATATGTACACGCACAGCTCGTCTGGGTGTGTACATATGGGCACAGGGGTGCAGAYCTCACATGTGCATTGCCACCCCTGTATATGAACATCCTCACCCACCCATTGAGCTGGTCTGGAGGGTAGGGTTTGTTTTTTTTTGGCAGTCCTTCTGTCTCTTTTGTGGGGGTGATGAGCTGCTCTGGGACTGCTGAATTCCAGCTCAGCCAGATGTGGGAATTAGCAGAAAGGAGTTCAGGTGTGGGAGAGCTGGGTTGGGATGGCTGCTCACAAWGGGGAAATCAAAGGGGCTTCATGCCTTTATCGTGATGGTGCTGAGAAATGGGGTCTGGGCCCGTTCTGGTGGGAATTGTCCCCTTTCTCCATCCTRCCAGCTTTGTGATGGGGCAGGGTGCTTGTTCCCAGTCCCCTCCCACCCTGWGTCCTCTCCCAAATGGAGAGGGGGATCAGTATCCGTCTGCAGGGTGCTGCTTCCTACGAGGGCAGTTCTCGGCAGCCCTCCGTTGCAGCCAGTGGGTGGGATGGGCTGTGGGGGCACTGAACCCATGGGCAGCTCCAGGCTCCAGCCTGTCTGAAGCGTCACCTCCCACCCCTCCAGTAACATTCTTGTGTCCACTGTGCCGACAGTGCGTTCTCCCCCCGGCCTGGCCAAGACCCCGCTCTCAGCGCTGGGGCTCAAACCCCACAACCCGGCTGAGATCCTTCTGCATCCAGTGGGAGGTGAGTGTGGGYACGGGGACTGCAGGCAGATTTGTGGGGGCATCTGTGAGGATACCCCTGGAAGGATCCCTGTTTGGAGAAGGTGGTTCCACCTCTCTTTTGGGGCCAGGTGGCCGTGGGGGTCCTCGTTGTGTTTTGTGGGGACTCTGGGACTGTGTAAGGGTGGGGGATGTTGGTGCTGCCCTGGGGGGCTCAGCACAGCAAGGTCTTCAGTGGTGAAGGCTCAATAACCCTGTGGTCCTGTTTCCTGCCCAGCCCCATGTTGTTCCCTCTCTCACCCCCTACATTCCTTCTCCTCCCTAGGACAGCTGGAGACGGTTTGCTGTCTGGGAGCTGAGCCTGTCAGCCAGAACAATATCCAGAGCTCTTTCCATCCTGGACAGCAATCCCTGAGTGCAAAGGCCSTGCTGTCCTGGGGATGTGTCCTGGAGTAGCCTGCCAAGCCAGACCTTACTGCTCCCCAGCATCCAGGGCCCCTTCCTGAGCCAGCTCCGGGCTGTGTAACCTTCCCAAACCCATCTGAGCTGGGGGGGGCACAGGCTGAGTGAGCTCACACTGCAAGATCCTTCTCCCTCTGCCCTCAAGGGCGAACTGATGCTTTTTGGTGCTTGCTAGGCTTMTTGGAGCAGCCCTTTGGTCACTCTCTGCTTCACTGTTCCCTCTTTTGTGTCTGAAGCCACCTTTCTGGGTTTTGGACATAATGTCTGGGATGCTGACATGGACTGTGGGGGTGTCTGAGGCTGCGTTTCAGTTTGGAGCACAGTGTCGGGAGGTGTGGGGCTCTGTGCTCTGTGTGCCCCTGCCTGAGCAWGGCAGAGCTGCTTAACTCTTGATTTCTCTTTCTGTCTCGCACCTCCCTTCCTCCTGTTCCCACTCCCATCACTCCCCTGTCCCTCCATCTCTSAGAGCTAGAAGGGGAAGCATGCGGTGACTCTGAAGAAGGTAAGAGGCTTTTCTTTCTCTGTCTCTCTTCTTCACTCAGCCTCACTGTTGGGACTGTCACTCAGAGCAGGGCCTGGTGTCTGTTCCAGCAGCCTTTCCCTTGCACTGTCCCTCAGGGATGCAGGAGCCTGAGCCTTGCCTGTCCTGCTCCCTTTGGAGCAAACATCATGGCTTATGTCATGATAGGATTTCTCAGTGCCCAAGCTGGACCTGAAGGTCTGTCACATTGTGTGGCAGTCATCTGTGGGGACTGAGAGCTCTTTGTCAGTGAGTGGCATCCTTTCTGGTGGCATGCTGGGGATGCTGGCATGCTACAGCCAGCTTTGGATGAGCCTGGCGGGATCTGGGAGCAACAGCCCCAGTTTTAGTCTCCTGCCCTCCCCTTTTGGCTTTGCTGTTGCCATTCAGAGTGAAAATAAACCAAAGTGCAGCACAAAAGGTCAGGAGGCGCAGAGGCCACCAGTGTGTGGCTGGCTCAGCCCACTGGGCAGTGGTGCAGCACCGGCAGCTGGTGCACATCTTCCCCCAGCCAGGCAGCTCCCCAAGTCCCCCCACCTCTCCTGTGTGTGGGTTCTGTCTCTTTGGGAACACCAAGGATGGGGCTGAGCTGGGGTGTCAGTTCAGGAGTGGCTGTGCTGATGGCACAGGCAGTGTGGCTCTGGGATGGCACATCTCGTGTGGGGACAGAGGCTTTGGGAGTGGYTATGTTTCCTTGGAGTTCTGCCTGCTATGTAACGGTTGTTGGGTGGTTTTGCTTCCTTCTTTAATGAATTTTTGGGCCCTCAGAACTGGGATGAGGAACTGTATGTTCAGGATGGGTTTTGGGGAAAGGGTGTCTCCTCTTGGTGGGTGCGGTGCTTCCTCTGGCCCTAGGAGTCAYCAGCATTTCTCTCTGGAAGTTCCTCAAAATGTACACAATCCAAACCTGAATATTGTGTAGGACTGGAGAAAGTGTTTGCTTGAAAAAAAATGTTCTGTTTCCAGGACTGATTTTTCAGTGATGGTTTCTTGGAGAATTTAAAGGAAGCAAAGCTGGGATAAAACCAAGCTTATCCCTCATTAGTTCCCCCAAGCTTTACCATTTCTGTCCAGCTTTAAGCCTCCAGATATTGCCTCTGCTCCTCACTAAACCCTCAGGAGCTCAAGCTGTGCTTCTTCTCTGTCTCCTTGCCATGATGGTTGACCCCCAGGCAAGGATGTCCAGTGACCCTGCACTGCCCAGGCTGAATGGCCCCCATGAGMCTCTTGCCCTGCTTCATCCTCTCTAGTAAAATGATATTTTTGGGGACTGAATCTACARTTCTGAGAAGGGACTGGTGTTTTGGCTTAACATCTCTTGCTTGGGACCCTCTGCATCCAGACACACGCTCSAGGAAACTCCTTGCCCCTCTGTGCTGTGCCCAGCAGATTGCAGCTGGAATGGCTGGGCTGTGTATGGGGCTGGGAGATGCTCTGGCAGTGTGGGAGCTCAGGACGTGGCTGTCAGCTCTGAGGAGGCTTTAGAACAGCCTGACACAGATGCAGTGTTGGGGATTTCTGGCCAGAGCATAGCCCTGCTCGGGTTTGGGATTCCCAAACAAATGCCCGTCTCCCTGGTGACTCAGAACTTCTGTATTCTCCCACCCATCTTTCCGTCTCCAGAGTCCCTTCCAAGAAAACACAAGGAGGAAAGATCAGATTTTTCAACCTAAAAAATCCTGCCTGAAACTTCCTAACTTTTTTTTCTTTTCTTTTCGTTACTGAATCAAAGTCCTGGAACCCGTGCCCATGGCCACACACCTCACTGTGGCACAGCCCCCAAGCCCCAAACTCCTGCCTTTTCAGGAGGGGCTGGCATTTTCACAGTCCYATGATCTTAACCTCTTGCAGTCTGACTCATATATACTGTCTGGCTAATTTTAGTCTGGGCTGGGGAGCTGGGAAGGGGAAAAGTGAGTAGCTGTGAAATAAATTTAATTACCTAAGCTGCGATGAATTTCTTGCAGCTGYCCTGGACAGTGCCTCATCCCTGTCACCCAGGATGTCCTGCCTTAGATGCAGGTACCCAGCCTGTGTAGAGGTCCATCATTTGGCTTTGGCTAAGATCTTTCCTGGCTGGTTGAACAGGGCTGGGCAGAGAGATCAGCCCAAGAGAGGGACTCCTCCTCCCGTCTCCACAGACAGATGGGGCACAGAGATGCTGCAGGGAAAGGAGTGGGACTGTGACAGTCTTTTTTCCTTGCACGCCTCTGCTCCAGCTCTGAATGTGGAGCTGTGCATTGGTGTTGCTGACTGTGAAGAAGCCAGCTTGCCAGCAGGCTGAGCCAGAGCCCAGCTGTTACGACTAATAATAACAGTAATAATGTTTGTTGTGCTAATTACTACTGCAGAGCTGCTTTGGGCATGGCCAGCCTGGAGCCAGGGACACGCAAGGCTGCCTGGCCCATAGCATTTGATGCTGGTGGGTCTTGTGTAGGACATGTGCCAGCTGAGGTGTGACACGGCTGCGGGGCTTCGGGGAATGGGACTGAAGCTGYAGCCCCTTCCTCTGATACAACTTCTGGTGGGGCTGTGGGAGCTGTCATAGGAATGGGGACCAGCCTGGGTGGAGCAGGAGGCAGGAGGAAAAGTATGAGAGAGGACTGGGTCTGATGTCTGCCATGGCTGTAATGGCCAGCCCAGCCCGCTGCTCCTGGCACGGGACAGCTTGGCRGCTCTAAAGGAAAATTGCTTTTCTTGGTCGTGCTTGTGGGCTCCGGTTTCAAGCTGGGCTGGGAGTGAAAGTGTTGGATGTTGCAGTGGAAATAGCTGGAGTTGCCCACTGGTCTGCTGCTGGAGATGGCTGGCAGAGGTGGGCTGCAGAGGGCAGGACCACAGGACACCGTCACCAATCCTGTGTGAGTCAGCGCAGGCTGGGCAGTGTCACCGGCTCTATTTTTAGGGGCTGTGGATGAGCAGGGAGCAGGACGTGTTCTCTGTGGCATCCTGGTGGGAGGGACACCGACTCAGAGCAGAGTGAAGGGTTTGTGGCATGTGAAGGGATCGTGGTCCATGTTTCAGTTCCCTTGGAAAAACGGGTGTCCCCCTCCCTGTGCCCTGGCTAGGATCTTCAGCATTCTTGAAGCAACTCAAAGATCCTGAATGAGCCAGATGTGTTTCCCCACAACCTCTGGTGCAAGAGGTAGAGGGAAATGTTCAGCTGGAGGAGGTCAACTCAAGCACCTTCACTGGCATGAAATGTGGATCCTGGGAAGGGTGTGGCCTCGTTCCCATGCAAGCTATAGGCTCATCTCTTTCCGCTTCTCTTTTGCCACAGAGCCCAGGAGTTATGTCGAGTCAGTGGCCCGCACAGCCACAACGGGCAGGGGAGGGACACTACCCGCTGTCCAGCCTGCTGTCCAGCCCGCTGTCCAACCTGCTGTCCAGCCTGCTGTCCAGCCCGGAGGCCCAGAGATGCCCACCAGGAATGGCACTTTCTCCAACTCCTTCATGGCCCCCAGCCCCGTGTCCACCAGCAGCCCTATTCACAGCATGGACGGGTAAGGCGGCGGGTGCAGGTCCCAGGGACTGGTGGGATTGGGGCAGAGCCCTGCCTGGTGCACAGGCTCACAGTCACAGAATCACTGAATCATTAAGGTTGGAATCCCAGATCATCGAGCCCAACCTTTGGCTGAGCACCACCAAGCAAACCAAACCAGAGCACTAAGGGCCATGTGCAGTTGTTTCTTGAACATCTGCAGGGGTGGTGCTTACTCCCACACTGAAACTGCCTTTGCAAAGACCCGCATCAGGGTTTGGGTGTCCTGGCCAACTGTGCACCTCAGTGCCCTGAGAACACAAATCTGGGTCACTGCTCGTCACTTGGTGGTTCCTGGACCTCAGAAGCCTCTCAGTGGGAGCAGCCTGGCCCCTGGAGTGGGAGGAGGGATGGGTTGTGCTAACCCCTAGCCCTGGGTTAGGCTGAGCATTTGTCTTCTGTGGTGAGATGAAGCCATCRTCCCTGTCCACGATGCCCACGAGGTGTTCTGCACCCACACAGGCTGGCAGGGCAGAGCAAATCAGGTGTTTGCTGGGAGCAGAGCTGGAAGAAGGCTCTGCTCCCCAGAAAGTCATATTTTGAGATGGAACTGGGATGCATACTGGCACTAAAGCTGCCTCTAGTTGCTTTCATGCAGCTGGCAGGATACATCCCATGGTTACCTCTGAAAAACCAAGTAGCTGACTGGCACTGTGCCTCAGTTTCCCTGCGCACCAGTCAGCAGCAGGAATGAGCAGTGAAGCTGAATTCTACTTTTGTTCATCTCTTCTCAGGGCTTCCCTCCGCAGCTACCCGTCAGAAGGCAGCCCCCACGGCACGGTTACGCCTCCCCACGCCTCAGCTGAGCCCGTGTACCGCTCGCCTGTTGGCTCACAGATGCCCTCTGCTCACAGCAGCTACCAAAACTCGTCTCCATCTTCCTTTGCCATGGTCCATGGAGGGGTCCCGGGCTCAGCACACAGCAGCCCTGACTACCCTGATGGCCGAGCTGGCCTCCAGCTGGAACCCCAAGCTCGGCCACAGCCCCAGGTCAATGTGGTGGGGGTCCACACCCTGCCAGGGAGCCCCCGCAGCCTGCACCGGACAGTGGCTACGAATACACCGCCCAGCCCTGGCTTCGGGCGAAGAGCCATCACCCCCAGCATGAGTGGCGCTCCCGGCAGCCCCGGGCTGGGCAGACATGCTGTGGTGGCCCACGGCAACCTGGTGGCCCCACCAGGGAGCCCCAGCCTGCCCAGGCACCAAGCAGCGGCAGCCAGCTCCCCTGGCAGCCCCCTGTAYGGCTACTCCAGCCCGGAGGAGAGGCACCTGACGCTGTCTCGGCAGAGCAGCTCCTCTGGCTACCAGCCTCCCTCCACACCGTCCTTCCCTGTGTCCCCAGCGTACTACCCTGGCACGAGCACRCCGCACTCCTCCTCCCCGGACTCGGCTGCCTACCGCCAGGGCAGCCCCACGTCGCAGCCCGCGCTGCCCGAGAAGCGGCGGATGTCGGCCGGGGACCGCTCCAACAGCCTCCCCAACTATGCCACTGTCAACGGCAAGGTGTCCTCGCCTCTCTCCAGCGGCATGTCCAGCCCCAGCGGCRGCAGCGCCGTCGCCTTCTCCCACACTCTGCCAGACTTCTCCAAGTTCTCCATGCCAGGTAAGGGATGCTCTTGGATGTCCCCGTGTCCCCCCACCCTGCTCAGGGCTCTCCCCTCCTCCTCCTTGCTGGCCATCAGGAAAGGGATCGGAGCTATGTCCTGATTTACCCCTCCTGTCCATCCGCAAACCAAAGGCACCGCCAGGGCTCGGGCCATTTCCTGCGCTTTCTGACAAATCCAAACAGGAAAAGCACCGACCAGCATCTGTGACATAAACATCACCCAGAAATGTGTATGGGGAGATCAAAGCTCTGGGAGGTGACTTTTCTCTGCCGTGGGGATGCACTGACCTCTTGGCCCCATTCCCAGTGGGCTTTCCCCCACTGGGACCCTGCTGTGGTGCTGCCTCCTCGTTTCAAATGGTGCCGTCCTGCCTGGAACGTCTTTGCCAGCTCCTGTTACAGACACCTTGGTGACGCCRAGATCAGGCTGATAGGAGCAGGGGAATAAAGCTGTGGGGCAGCACTGGCTCCAGCTGCTGGGCCAGTTTCACTGCCGAGTTGGCAGCCCTTTGTGGGCGCGCTGGCACTCGTCCTGGCCCCATGACTCCTGTGGCCAGGGACCTTTCCCAGTGGGGAAGCGGGAGCAATTAAAACCCGTAACAATTAACAAGCAGCTTGGAGAGGGGAGCGAGCCCCCTGCCTCTCCAAAGGTGAGCTGATTGTAGAGGGCTGATAATGTGTCTCCAGCAGAGATGCTATCCAGTCCTCTCGGTTGCTTGCCTGGTTGTTTTTGGAAAGCAGGTGGTTGTAARTGTTGCCTGATTAAATGACAGCTTCATGGCCAGAGGACCAGCTCCTGTTGGGGCTGTGCCTCTGGTGGGCACTGAACAAGGCACAGTCAGGCTGGGGCTGTTTTGCCCAGGGTAGATTCACCTGTCCAATTTCTCTGCACAGAGCAGAGATAAGGAAGAAATTTATTTTTATGAAGTGTGAACAAAATCTTGAACATTAGAGAGCATTTAAGGTCCTGTGCAATCAGGGGATCTCCCAACCAACCTCCAGACACACCTCCTTCCTCCAACAGCTTTTATTTCACCTGGCCAGCTTCCTTTTAAATGAAGAATTCCCATTTTGTCTCTGGCTGTGTGCCATAAGGGCTTGTCTGATGCACAGCCCTTGGAGAGCCCTTCAGCTTGGGTTTAGCTTTAGATACCCAGCAGCCTGCCCGGTAGGGGGGCTGGGTCGAGGTTAGTGCAATGTGCTGGATCTGAAAAGAGGTGGACGTATTAATGTTTTAGCTGGATGTAGAATTTGAGATACAGCATCTTTTACCTTTTTTTTTTTTTTGTCTTCCCTTTCCTGCAGACATCAGTCCCGAGACTCGTGCCAATGTCAAGTTTGTGCAGGATACTTCGAAGTACTGGTACAAACCAGACATCTCCAGGGAGCAGGGTAGGTAGATGATGCAGGGTTGGGAGTTGGGGTGTGTCTGGGATCACAGGGATTTGCCTCATGTACTGAGTTAAGAGTGAAGGTGAATTATGACTGCTCAGGCCGTTTCAGAAGGGGGTTGACGCCCCATTCAGCTGCAGGTTTGCGTGATGTGGGCTCCTCAAACCTTCCTCTTGGTAGAGGAGCTTCAGTCYCTGCAGTGTGCAGTGGATATATGCAGTTTGGGGTGCAAAACACCCAGATTGTGTGTTGATAATATTCGGAGGTGTCTTGGAAATGTGGCTAAAACAGGTGGAGAGAGCAGGATGCTTTCAGGAKCATGGTCCCAGCATTTGGCCCCTGGTTCCTGCTTGCTCTCCAGTACTTGGTTGTTCAGATAGGTAGGGTGGGAATTGGAGATGCCCACACAGGGGCAGTGGAGGTGGGGAGAGATGAGACTGGCAAGCCACTCAGATGTGTTRGCATCATGGTGCCTGGCTACGAGGTGTGGAGCTGGGGAGCCCCATCCCAACTCACACCTGCTGTGTCCTGAGGGTGTGTTGGTTCACAGCCCGCCATCTCTGAGCTCTGCCATTCWCTCCTGCAGCCATTGCCCTGCTGAAGGACAGGGAGCCGGGGGCTTTCATCATCCGAGACAGCCACTCCTTCCGGGGAGCCTACGGCCTTGCCATGAAAGTTGCTTCTCCGCCTCCCACGGTCGTGCAGCAGAACAAGAAAGGTATTGTGTGCTCCTCTCCTTCCCACGCCGAGATGCTTTCCATCGTTCAGCTGGGCTGAGCGGGCAGCYGGGGCTGCTGAGCCAGTTGTGCCCTTGGGTATGTGCTGATGTGGCAGGATCCCTGCCTGCCAGGGCACAGGGGAGCACCAGACACCCTCTRCCCTGAGCTGTGGAGGGCTCAGGAGCATCTTGGGCTTTGGTATGAGGAGATGRACACAGCCTCTCCAGCTCACCAGCACTGTGGGGAAGCTTGGCTTGGGGTTGACCCTGTGCAACGGGACAGATTTGAAGAGGGTGTGTGTAGTGGTAGGGACCCCTCCCTTGAGCTGGAGCACTGGTTTCCCAATGGACTGCATGGTAATAGGAGGAGAATGGCTCTGGTGTGAGAACATCTCATCTCTTCCCAGGAGACTTGACCAACGAACTGGTGAGGCACTTCCTCATCGAGACCAGCTCACGGGGTGTGAAACTAAAAGGATGTCCCAACGAGCCTAATTTTGGTAAGTGCCCCCAGCATGCCTCCCACATGCAGGGTTGGTTTGGAGAGCCTTGCCTTTGCCAGACTGTCAATGCAGAACTGCTGAGTGTCTGGGAGAGCCTGTTACAGCCTCTTGTCTCTGTGTAACTGAATCCTGTGGGCATTTCGAGCCTTTAAGTTGATGAGAGCACATGAATGTGCGTGCAGGCGTAGGTACATACCTTTCTAAACACCTGTGTAGGACAAATGATGCTGCTGGGCTGGRTGGAGGGCAGGGCTCCCCTTGTTCCATATATCCCATGGCTAATGGTGTCTGAGGAGCTGCATAACGAACTCTGTCCCATTTGTTGTTCCTAAAATGGCCCTGGTATCTCTTTCCTGCCCTGAGCCCTCTGTGGAGGGCCACATGGAGGTTTCAGTGAGAGGAATTGCTATGTGTGGCATTAGGATCATTAGTGAAGAAACCCACCTAAAACCTTTCCCTATCCACCCAGAGCAGTGATGACCTAATCGGCAAAAGCTGGAGTGTAGTTTCTCATTCCTTTCCTTGGTTAAAGTTTATCGTACTTCGGGTTGTGTGGTTCCATAGCCTAATGATTTTGCAAAAGGATCATTGTATTAACCCAGAAGGTGCAAACAATTCTTCACCTGGCACCACTGGCCCTGTGCTGACCGTCTCGCCTCTCTCCCCAGGCTGTCTCTCCGCGCTGGTGTACCAGCACTCCATCACACCCTTGGCCCTGCCCTGCAAGCTGGTCATTCCTGACCGAGGTAAGAGCCAGGAGGCATTGTATCTGTAGGGGCAGGTTTCTAAACAAGGAACACCAATAACCATCCCATGTCTTCTAGATCCCATGGAGGAAAAGAAAGACTCTGCATCAGCCACCAACTCAGCCACGGACCTCCTCAAACAGGGTGCAGGTRAGTGGAGAGGGGCTGTTGTGGGGTGAACATGGCTCAGAATAGTGGTTGACCCAGTGCCTGCTGTCTCCCTTTCCAGCCTGCAACGTCCTCTTCATCAATTCCGTGGAGATGGAGTCTCTGACGGGGCCCCAGGCCATCTCGAAGGCTGTTGCTGAGACGCTGGTGGCTGACCCCGCGCCCACAGCTACCATTGTTCACTTCAAAGTCTCTGCACAAGGCATCACCTTAACGGACAACCAGAGGAAGTAAGAGCCTCCATGGCCACACCTCTGGCCAAAAAACAATGTTGGCTTGTTCCCAAAGCCAGCAGGGCTGTGATTCAGGAAGTGTATTGGTGAAGGATGTCCCTGGGATGGCATCAGCCTGATYGTGGACATGGCTGGGCTTTGTCCTTGACTCTTGGAACATCCTATGGGAGACCCATGGCAGTGTCCCCTGGGCTGGTGGAGCTGGGCTTTGGTGTGACATTGGTGTAGCCTCCCTGGCCCTGACATTCCTTGCTTTGTGTTTCAGATTGTTCTTCCGAAGACACTACCCCCTCAATACTGTCACCTTCTGTGACTTGGACCCCCAGGAACGAAAGTGAGTGTCCTAACCTGGGGGGAGCGCATGATCTCTAACYCTTTCCCTCCTCTAGCCTCCTGGGATGCTTGGAGCAGGGTCTTTGCTTGCTCTGTCCCCTGCTCTCGCAGAGAGAAGGATGCAAGGTTCCCTTGGATACTGTGGGGCAATGCCAGCTTCTTCTTGTGACTTTTTGGTGTCTCCAAGCACCTTAGTGCTGAGGGAGAGGTGCATCATTTTTCCATAGAGCCAAGCCTCTGCAAAGCCAGGCTGGCCTTCCAGCATTGGTGTAGTGGCCCCCATCATAGCCCTGTCTCTCTGTGGATACAGGAGGGACCATCTCTCATACCCTCTCTTCTTGCAGGTGGACTAAAACTGATGGCAGTGGACCAGCCAAGTGAGTACTTTCTGTGCTTGCCAGCAGATTCCTCCCAGCTGTTGTTGAGGTGGCTTCTGCCTGTGTTTGGGCATTGGCTGGGAGATGCTCTGTACTAGGCTGTGTGTGAGATGGGCTCAGCTCCTCACCGCAGGAGTGTTTCACCCAAGCATGAGAYTGTGGTCCTGGTGGCTCTGAGTGGCATCTTTCAGCCCCAAATTCCTGGTCAGAGCAGGCATGGCTCTTGCTGAACTGATCAAACTGGAAAATCTCCAACAGAGTTGTTGGGAACCAGTTTATGCAGCAGAGCTGGAGTTATGCTGATGGCATGTGAGCTACTGGTCATGTCTTCMCTTTCTTCCTGTCCTTCCTGTCCTGACCCATGGGAGCACAGAGCTGTTGGCTGAGCCCATTTCCAGGGGCCAGCTCCCACTAATTTTAGCCATTGTGTTAGCGAAGGGGTTTTTATTAGGATGTACAGCTGCTGGGATATTTGCCCTCCCCAATTAGAAATGCCGTAGCCTGGGCCTGTCTCACATTCTGTTCCTCCTGTATTTATAACTTGAGTTTGCACTTTCTGATTAAAAAAAAATTAGGGACATTTTATTCATCAGGGAAGAGACAGACAGAAATAACCAGATGGTCTCACTCAGCTTCCTGTGTCCTTGCATGGCCTTCATCTCTTAGAGGGTCTACCCCAACGGCCAGCCCATCACACCTCTGGCTTCAGGAGGCCAAATCAAGGCAACGCTCTGGTCATCTGGGAGGTCCGTTTTTAGGGACAGGGTAGAGAAGGGTGGCAGAGATGTTCAGAGCAAGGGGAGGTTTGGTCAAGAAATTATTGAAAYGTGGCCTTCAAAGAAACTGCAGCAGAGGGAGGAGGAGATGGGCCTTCACACAGGTCGTTTGGGGTGTATCCCTCGGTGTTGTGAGAGGTGGATGTTAAAGAGGAGAAGTTTGGAAGAGGGTGGTGGTAATCCTTGCAGGAGCAATGCTGGCAAACCTTGTTGAGCCTCTCACCTTCTCCCCACACAGGCTCTTCGGTTTTGTGGCCAGGAAGCAAGGGAGCACCACAGACAACGTCTGCCACCTCTTTGCTGAGCTGGACCCAGACCAGCCAGCTGCAGCCATCGTCAACTTTGTCTCCAGGGTCATGCTTGGCTCCGGCCAGAAGAGATGAGCTGGCGCTTGCGGGTGATTCTTGAATTTTGGAGAAGGACTTGGAGCTGATCCGAGAAGGAGTGTGAGGAAGTGAATTATGGGAGAGGGAAGTGAATTGGGGGGGGAAAAGGGTTGGAATTTTGGAGGAAAGCAGCAAACAACAAAAAACCCCAACGAAACCCCTAAAAACTCAACACAAGCCAAACACACACATAGAGGARCCAAAACCACGCACCTACAAAAGAGAGCCACAAAGTCACGCCAGACAGGATGCATGTCCCATCGCAGGGAAGGTGACCAAAGCAAAGGCGGCAGTGAGAGGTGTGTTCCCAGCCTTCAGCATCATGGCCTCGAGTGGTGACATCCATTTGGGACTGAATGTGGGACCATGACTGGTGTTCTCCATCTGTTAAAAACAGAGCCAACTGGCAAAACCCATGGAAGCAGCTCCATCCCAGCAGCTCCAAATGCTGTGTGTTTGAACTGACCATAGGAGATAACRACGTGGGCTGGGTCTGTGGGACACCAGAGGAGATGCTCTCAGAAGCCTTCCCTTGTCCAGCTGCAGAGGAGGGTCCTCACCGGTCCCTGTGTTCCCCCCAAAACCTGCTCGCCACCTGGCAACTTGCTGGGGCGTTGGTCCTGAACCTTCCCATCCCTGGGGAGCTCGGCCATGGGCTGACCTTTGCTGACCCAGAGCCCAGCACCAGTCACAGGTGAGACGCTGTGAGTCCACCCAGAAAGGGGGATCACGGTGTTTCTCCACCTCCCCAGGGGTTCTTGTGCCCCCCAGCCTGCGAGGAGGTGTGGGGGTTCCTGCTGCCCTGCGCCTGGGGAAGGTGTATACTCCCAGGAACCCAGAGGATGCCGAAAGTCATCTCCTCTTCCATCTTCCCCTTTTCCCTCCCGTCACTAGTCCTCTTTGGCAGTTTTCTCCTGCAGCCTGTCACATTCTCTTAACACAAAAAAAGCAAAACAGAAAGGAAAGGAATAAGTGTAATAATAATAATGATTATAATAATAGCGGATGCTGGCACAGGTGGGTTCCCTGTGCAAAGCAGCAGCCCCGTGGCTACCCCTGTCTAGCTCTTCGGAGACACGTAAGCGGTTTTTAAATTGCATGGACATTCAAGTTGCACGAAAGGCGAATGACTACAAGTAACTCAGGCGCTTTTTTCTCCTTTTGTTTTGGAGGCCACGTTAAAAAAATAAAAAGAAGGAAGAAAATTAAAAAAAAAAAAAAGAATAAAAGGAAGGGACCTGCAG